CGCCATCGCGTTCTCCGACTCCTCCTCCTGTTCACGAAGATCCCCGTTCCGACTACACCCCGCCTTCGCAGACAACGCTTCGCTCCGGTCGCGTTTCACGCCCCGCAAACCGCCTCAACTTATGAACGTCAAGACTCGCAGTCTCACTTCGAGTTCGACGCTGAAAGGGGGATAGTGTGACGGCGTAGGCCGTCACAATGCTACGAAGTCTTATTGCTCATATGTAGTCGGCCGGTAGCTTTCCCTCGCAGAGGGTTTTGACGCACCCGCGCCTGTAACTGTACAGTGGCTTACTTATATTCTCACGCATTCGACGAGTAGTCAAGACATGTATCGTACTTATGTTTTCTTCTTCGTCGAATCAACGCCAGTATTCGTTGTCATTATACTCGTGCTCTTCGTCTCGCTCGTTTCGACTCCTCTCGTCTCGATATCGATCTCCGGCACCGTTACACTGCACGTCTACGTACTATGATCAACTACTTTGACAACTCGGAGTATCGTTAATAGTCCTTCCACGGCGCTGTAGTCTGGGAATTGATCTTGGATGCTGGGGTCTGAGTCGTCTTGTGTTCGACTCGATGTCGCCGTTTGCTATCAGCGCCACAAACGTGAGTGGCTTATTGAAGTCACAGTGCTAAAATGTCGTCTAGGCCAACTTCGAAAGCACTCCCTACATGAGTTTTCCGAGACTTCGAAAACTTGTGCTTTGGTCAGGCGCCCGAGTGTCATTGGATAGCCATCGCGCGCTTCTGTGACTTTGGAAGATTATTATGCCAGCCGGCAGGCCGTGATAGGGTGAGCGTCTCCAGTGAGACATTGCTCTTGCAAGCTAGACAGTGCGTTTCAGCACGGTTTTCCAGGCTCACCGTCTTCGATTTGATCTTCGCCTCTATTTCAGGAAAACCCCGAGCATAACGGGGCTCTAAAGGTTGAACTCGGAGGATGTTGTTCCAAAAGTAGTGCACATGTGCATGATCTTTGTCGTGTTTCGTCTGAGCTTCATCTTTAAACATTTGTCTCAGGGACGGAGTGACCATGTCGTTGTAGTGTTTCTTCTGAGCTTCATCCTTAAACCTTTATCCCAGGGGCGGCACGTCTATGACCCAAGTCTTCTACACATGGCTTAGGAGCTAGTGGAAAGACAGCTGCATTTCTGGAGGGGTATAAGTACGACGTATGTCTAACTCACCGGCAACCCACAGAGCTCACTCTCCATACCGTTCACACCTTGAAGCTCATCTATACCCGCTATGTCGCTGCTAAAGGCTGGCCTGCAGCTTGCTGCGGTAACTGCCTACAGAACATCACTTACAAACCCGAACCCATCTGAGACTGCGACCAAGACGAACAACGTCAAGAAACCCCGATTCGACGATCTCATCATAGGGGCGCTACTCCCGCTTGGCAACGTGCGTTTATTCTTTTAGTTTTCGCCATATTTCCCTTGTTTTACAACGTCAAACTGATGCTGAAACAATGATTATGCCAGTTTGCCATCGTTCTTCCAGCTTTGGCAGAAATGCTCATCGCTCTCGCCCTATCCTTCCCCTCGCCCTATTCACCGCGAATTCTCTCGCTGCTCGGATACAACCACAAAACGTTCACAGCAGCCCCTTCGGTATTCTACGTCGCTGGCGCCCTCCTTGCCATCCTCGGGAGCATGGGGCGGGTACATTGCTTCCGCGTACTCGGAAAACACTTCACGTTCAACATCGGCATAATCAAGGACCACGTCCTCGTCACCGCAGGCCCTTACTCATGGGTCCGACACCCGAGCTATACGTTTGCGATGGTGCAGATCGTCGGCCTGGCCTTGATGCACACTGCGCCGGACTCAGCCACCGCTTGGGGTTTGAGCGCGGGGACGGGTTCGTGGCTGCGAGAGGCGGATGCGTGTAAGGCGGTGAGGGCAATTATTGCAGTCTTATGGGGGTTTTCAGCCTCTTGCATCTTGAAGTTGGCTGTCGAGCGACCGCCTGTGGAGGACGCGTTTTTGCACAGGGAGTTTGGAAAGGAATGGGAGGAGTACGCCAGGCGGGTCAAGTACAGATTGATTCCTGGGTTATACTGAGTCGCGCAGATGTCGGTTAGTCAAGCATTGGGTCGGGCTGATTTCGGTTTATCGTTGAATGACGAAGAACTCTAGGTTCCGTACTTCGCTTTGGTAGTATGCTCGTGATTTACTAGATGGTTCACATACACGAGGTCATGTCATTACGTATCATATGTATTCTACTGTGCGCTTCGCTCTTTCCCCCGAGGTTTCATTAACGCATGAGCATAGTGTAACTGCGCCTCTCGGTGGTTCGCGGATTTGTGACATCAGTGTATCCGGTTTATTCATGACAGCAGTTGAAATTTTGATTAGAAGCTTACTGTACCCTAACCGCAACTGAGCCAGTTAACTCCGTGATATATGAGATGTTTGATCAAGGCATAATGAAAGTGTGCTCTTAATAATCCGAAGGGCGTCGACCTGCGTCGACTTACATCCGCCGGCTACTCCGGAGTAACTGCGGAAGCTAATTCGAAGTACATTATCGTTGCGAGACGCGCTCCTCGCGGCGTTCGTAAGCTTCCATTCTGTCATTCAAGTTCTAGAATGCCGGATATACCACAAGCACAACAGAGTCGTACATGGACCATCGTAGCTTAGAACGTGCTACTACATACACAAAACGCCGAAGCTTCGACTATAGATTTGCGTGCCCAGACACATCCAGCACCACGCTGGTCGAGTTGGTGAACGCTGTGCCTAGCCGCGTTTATGGGAGGATCTTCAGGGGACTTGGGGAATAGGCTAGCGTCGCCACGCGCTGCGCATTCATTGACTGGCAATAATTATCGAGCACGGCGTAAACTGTCAACTTACATTAGGGTGTTCCCTGTGATTGATGGGCACGGGTGACCTCGGCGTCCGCGCCCGGGTGGGCCGTATCCGACGAGCTAGTAGAGCGTCTTTCGGTTCCCTTTCCAATAATACTCTGTCCTCGCGCCGGATTGCTTGGCGTGGTGGTCGTAACCTCGTTCGAGAGGAGGGGTTGTACAACTCGAAGTCCCGTCATCCTCGCACCTCATTGGTCAGAAGTATCTCACTTACAGTACAGAAGTCTTTGGACCGCGCGAATGACAAAGGACCTTGGGATGCTCAAGCCAGAAATAGCGTAAGCTGCGTGGCTAGTTACCCCGCACCGGTGCTCCACCTCTCCGAGATGCTTCCTTCATTTTGACACTCTTTTCTTAGCCGACGTCGATGATGAAGAAGCGCTGCTGCGTGTACGCTACTGCACAGCGGTGAACGTTGACATCAGAGGGCTATGAACAGCCACCGGTAAAAGTACTCACACAAACTGTGCTTCTCTTTCGAGGGTATACTGTACGTACCCCAGGCAAAAACACACGGCCCCGAATCCCGCGAACCTACACACAGGGGTAACTTGGGAACTCGGCACTGCAAGTGCGTCGGCAGTGGTCTGATAGCAAAGAAACGCGACTTTGCGTCGATATGGACTGGACGCGATGTTAATTTGCCGAGCTAACAATAGTCATATAGTGCGTGTATCCAGCCGTCTACTGTATGAGAGCATATCACGCACGCATCCAAGAGAACTTCTTGATCGCCGTGGAGCGTGAACGCATTCGTTGTTATACTTGGTACAATCAGATCGTCCACCAGTAAACCAAGGTCGATAATCGCGCGGTGGAACGGACGTATATTTTCTTCTTCGCGCTGCAGAGGCGCAACAACACAGCGCTGGAGTAAAACGCGCGACACTCGTGCGGCTCTCCTTAATACCACTCACAGTGATATGGGCGCTCACGTCGGTAGTTTGATAAGACACACGACCCGAAGGAGACCTATCGGATTGAACGGCTCCATTTTCAGCGGTCCTTTGGTGGGATCCAAAGCACTGGGCGGAGCAAAAGTAGACATTGGCGCCATCCATGGGTGACGTTTTGACTCTTCTCTGACGCCAAGACCTCCAAGCCTATGGAGAGCACCGTCATGTGCTGTTTTGGGCGACGGTGGTCTAGAGCAGTATGGTCTGTGTAGGAGTTGTTCGTCAGCCAATGTGTACGCATACAGTTGCTATAAATCAGGTACTAGGCCATTTGCATCGCACCAAAACCACACGCAAGACTGAGGAAAGAGCACGCGGAGGACTGCTGACACTGATGGCGAGCAAAAATATCGGGGCCCAGGCGGTCCACTAGAGCATACACGTAGTGTCGTCATCCGTTCGCTCATGGCGATCCAGAAGTCCTCGTACTCGAAGATGAAAAAACATGGCGGGCGTCCACAGCAAAACCGACCCGCGATTAGCTGCCAGCTTAAACCAGAAATAGGAAATCGTGAGATCATAGCGTAGCTGCGTTGATAAGCAGCAGCACGGGGCTACCACGCCAGCATTCTGAAGCTTCGCCGAAATGAAACTTCGACTTCGAAGTGGAGAAGAAGCAGGAGGAGAGGAGTCATCAGACGCTATCATACCAACCCCAGATTTTCTCGATTCAACCTTCGATTTCGCGAAGTTGCGATGCGATATGATGGATACGAGCCGGCGGGCTGGAGGTGTGTGTGTGTCGTCCAGAAAATCATAATGGGGCCATGCGGAAGAGGGGTTCACGCGGAAGCCCGCACACTTTTTATTCCTAAAAAATTGAGAATGGATCAGTCAAGTCTTGCGACGGCCCAATGGGCAACTGAGGCAGTGAGATAGCCCTCGAGAGCTAAGGATAGATGTGCACCGTCGTCGCGTAGTCGAGGCTCTGCAGAATGCATGCATGTAAATATGGCGAGCCTGGGGCACGAGCTACGCGACGTCTAATCGCCGGTAGATTGTCAGTATTTCTGGCTCGTCTCGTGAGAGGTGCGACATAGTTACAGCGTGGCGGCCCTGTGCGGCCCGCTACCGAGAGACTTTAGTGGCCGTTCATCCTTCTTTTGCTTCTTCGCTCCGAAGTATCTAAGTTTTCTGCCTGCTGTGAAACATGAACGGGTTATCGTGCTCCCGTTTGGTACTTAGCGGGAGGTGGAAGCACGATATGGACGAGAGGGGGGTGAGCTCGGTGAATTGTTATCGCAAAATGGAGAGATAAAGACGCAAAAGCGCAGCGTTCACGTAACATCGATGCGTGCCTTAGTACGAACGGGGACGCGAGGCGATAAGGCCGCGCCGCTGTGTTTGGTTAGGCGCTTTGGAACGAGGCAGCCCTCCAAGTGGCGGTACGATCGCGTTTGAGATGCACGCATCCGCCTCGCGTGGTGCATACTTCTTACTTACCTTTACTGCAACGCGCACTTGCACCGAGATTGCTACAGTCACTTGCCCGTGGAGGTCAGCTGAAACGCGTTGGCACGACACGTGCGTAGCGTTGTTGGAGAGGGACCGAGATAAAATCTCGTGGAATGCACTACGCGTGGGCGTGGGCCAAGCAGTAGCAACTGCAAGGATGTACTGTATGCGCGGGAAGAGCGTCTAGGAGGGCAAGGGACACAAAACGCGATACGATCCGCGTCCGAGTTCGGGCCGCGGAGCTGGAGCTGGAGCCTCGTTTTCCTGCTTTGCACGCATTCAGGCGATGCGGCGAACAGAGGCCAATAGGCAGAAAGTGTTACGTGCTGATAAGCAACAGAGGTTGCTCCGGCGGTCTGGACATAAGCCGAGCGCACGAAACGAGGAGGCCGGAGATATTCATCTACAATGCGGCTTTTCAGCCTTTGAGTTCGTGAGGCTGGCGGCCGGTCAGGCCAGGCATCAGGCCCTCAGACAGGGGTCGATCAGTGTTACTGTAACGGTGAATATATGCGCCCCCAATCGAAAGGCAGAACATATCTCTCTGTGGGTGGATATTAATATCGACGTTCAGTGAAGAAAAATTAGATAAGGATAGCATGCATAGACACAGCTGTGCCGCACAGGATGCTGCAAGATAGGACATGGTTCCCACCGAGGAGGCCTGACTGGGATGGATGCTGGGAAGACGGGTTCGGAAGAGGAGCAGGCTTACGGCATAAGGACGGGGAAAAGGATAGATGCGATGAGAATAGCGCGGCGCACGGAGGTCGGGCAAAAGTCTAGCCTGTCGATGCAGCTCGTCATCGACACATCACAAAGCTCGAGGAGCATACAGTGTCGAAGGCTAGACGGACAGTAAACGAGTTTCAGCCCATCAAAAAAAACAAAGAACCTCAGCGGCAATCTAAAGTGCGATGATACCGTGTATTTTGTTGGATAGCGGGGAGTCTTCGGAGGGGTGGTGTTGATGGACTGTGGTAGGGGAGACTCGGTGTGGTGGGGCCGAAAGAGGCAAAAAGCTCGGAGTAACCTGGGGAATTGAGATTGAGACTCCGACAGAGGACTGACCCCCCTGTGCAAACTGTACGCGCACGCCCAGTTGGCAGCGAATTACGCGGCCTTGCACCTGCACGCTCTCCTGATCAGCCAAGTAGTACTCCGGTGCTATATACGCCTTCTTCCCAGCCAGCCACCACCACACCTGCTCTGCCGATTCCTCCCTACACGCCTATCAGGCCTGCTTCCCGCCTCTCCTTTTCATCTACTACTCTAGATCCTCATGATGCTCATGCCTGACATCGCCATGGCCCCCCACACCCTCCCCACTCAACACCAGTTTAATCCCTACACAGAGAATGGCGGCACCATCCTGGCCATTGCTGGTGCGGATTTCTCTGTCATTGCTGGCGACACGAGGCAGAGTGAGGGATACAACATCCAGACACGATACGCGCCCAAGGTTTTCCGTCTGTGCGTATCTTCTCCATCCGCTTGCGTGGCCTCGTATCTGACCGAAAACATTTGTTTTTTTGGCTTTCTTTGTTTGTAATCACATTGTCGATGCACATATCAAACGCTCTCGCTATTACAGCACTGATCGCGCTGTCCTCGCTGTGAACGGCTTCGCAGCAGACGGAAACATGTTCGTAAAGAAGGTTAAGCAGCGGCTAGAGGTACGCCTTTCTCCCGTCCCCATCTATTCCCATCGCATCGAATGCTCACGCCCCTGTCGTAGTGGTATCGCCACGCTCACGGTAAAGACATGCCCCTACGCGCGATCGCGCGTTTGATCCAGACGATGCTCTACGCTCGTCGTTTCTTCCCGTACTACGTGTACAACATCCTCGGTGGCATCGAAGAGGACGGTACGTCACGCATCCTTCTTTTCTTCCGTTTCCAGATTTGGTTTTTTCTCTCTACCTCCCCAACATACATCCATACATCTGCACACTCACTTTATTTCGCCATCGCGTCTAAAACTTCCCGTGATAAACGTTGAACTGGAACTGACGTGCGCTCGCATGACCAGGAACGGGCGCCGTGTACTCTTTTGACCCCGTCGGCTCATATGAGCGTGAAGCGTGCCGCGCAGCAGGCGCCGCACAGTCACTCGTCCAGCCTTTCCTGGATAACCAGGTCAGCCGCTTCTTTGATTTTCTCGTGCTTCTCTCGCGTCCTCCCACCTTCTTCTCTCCCTCCTCCTTCCGTTAAGATCGTCGTCGCGCACATCGCTGTCCACCGTCGTCCCTCACGACCGGCGTTCCGCTCGTCGCGCATCGCGTGCCCTTGGCAATCTCCGACGCTTTCCCGAGCTCTTTCCGCCTCGCTCCCACCTGTCCCCTCTTGTTCCTTACGCCGATGCTAACACGCACAACGTTGGCAGATCTACTTCAAGAACCAAACAGCCCCTCCGGACAGCGCACACCCGACGCATCTGCCCCTACCTACGGTCCTCTCGATCGTCATCGACTCATTCACCTCCGCAACTGAGCGCCATATCGAGGTGAGCCGCGCGCCGCTGTTTGCATTCCCTCCTTCCTTTTTTGGTTATACGCGAGCACTTCTTTTTCTCCGGCGCCGTGGTGTTGGTTCCCGCGAACTCCCGCTGAGTCGCACGTGACGCGCTGGCAGCCCAGGGCTACGAGCGGGATTCGCGTTGGGGTGTGCTGGCGCTTGCTGTGTCGTGCTGGCATAACGTACGATGTGGGTTGGGCGACGCGGGTGCACTTTGTCCGCGAGTGCAGCGTCTTCTAGCGCTGTGCGCCCCATGCGTTCGTTCAGTCGTTTGTGTTTGCGGGCACGTTGACCCGCGGAGTGACGTCACATCACCGTATCTGCGAACATGACCTCTCTTCCTTTCCTTCTTCTTCTTTGTACCTTTCCGTTCTCCAATTGCAAAAATTCACGGCATTGCGTACTAATCCATTGCTCTCACCCGTTGTATATATAGGTCGGCGACGGTCTCGAGATGTACATTGTCCTCGCACGAGGACGCAATCTCGCCGGGCTCGAGGGCATCACTGGTATGCAGGAGCTCACGACGACGCAGGACGGCGAGCGCGTGTTCGTCGTAAGACGGGAGCTGAAGAAGGACTGAAAAGATCGCCTCCTTTCCCCTCGTTCTCCCGTTCCTTCCCTCCCATCCGTCGCATCCGCATTTGACGGCGCCGTGCGAACCAGAAGATGTTCACGAACGACGGCCGAAATCAATCTCGATTCATGTCATTCATTACGCGTTCGCATCGTCGTTGACTCTGAGCGTGTATGCACAGTACATCCGTTTTTTTTTTCTTGACGACCATATACATTGTAATTTTTTCGTGGGCAATGGACATTCTCTCGCCATCTGTACTTGGTCGTCTGGTACTTGTGATCACACATGCTAATGGTCGACGTTTGCACAGGCCATGACGGGATGATGAGGTCCAGTCTGTCGAATCATGCATTCGTGATTGGTTGTTTGTTGGTGTAGAATACGACCTTGTTGCATCTCACCGCGTATGTCCTAAGCTGTGACCACGCGCAGGCGTCGTTCATCCCACAAGGCCAGGGGTTATCACTGTATATATGTTCATGTGTATACAAAATATCGTGTATTTAGCTACAGTACATTCGAAGCGTACCTTACTCTTGAATGGGAGACGTGTGATGCATACACCTCAAAGCTTTAGCTTTATGTCCGCACCTCCTCCGGATTCAACACGAAGGCGACAGCGAGCACAAGGGTAGGTAGAGCACAAGGGAAAGCAAGGCACACTGTCTACAACGAATACAGTATTGTACATCATCATAGTGTGTCGGAATGCCGCGGCGTTCCTGGTGGTAGCACACGCATTGAGTCACTTGTGTAGCTGTAGCTCATGGCATGTCGAGGGTCGTGCTTGCCGGATACATGCAGTGTTCTCATAGGCACGAAGTACTTCGGGAATTCTGAACTCATGTGTCCATGGTGTTTGGTAACATAAATTGTACCTGGGGTTGGCGTCGGCTGATGCTTCAAAGCTTGAGCTTTGAGTGCAGGTAAAACCAAGCTGGCATGAGAATTATTTGAATAGCGCATTCCAGCAACTGTCTATGATACGCTCCACAACTAGGGGACATATGAGACAGATATCTTAGACAATCTCTGACCCAGGTTCTCAGAAACGGTCTGTGTGGATTCCCCGATATCTTCGCAGTTTATAAAGGTAGGTAGACCTAGCTGGTCTTGCTATTGTCAAAGGAGTATAAAACATGATACAATGTGCCTTGCTACTTATAGGTCACAGACCGGGACAGAAACAGGCTGGTTGTTATTGTTAGGTAGTGCAAATGATCCATTTGTAACCCATGATTCAACACGCACAACTACTTTTCCAAATTAATGTTGTCACGGGAACGTCCCGGTTGCTTTCAGAAATCGAGCATGCAGCGTCCTTGGTAAAAGAAGCACTCATTTCTATCCTATATACAGCATAGAGGAACATAGGGCTGCAGACCTTTAGCCAACGACGAATAAGGAGTAAATAAAATGTGTGAGATCGGCCGAGTACCTGGAGAAGAGCACGGAGAGATGGAAAACGGATTGTATTACCATGAAGACTGTAATGAAGATAAGATGCTTAGTCAATAGATGCACTACTCCGTAATGCCACTCACCCGTTCTGACCATGTCGACTCTCTTCAGCGTTTACACGTCGAGTTTTTGAGCACAGAAGACAATCACCTTCCCAATCCCGCCGGTCATACCCAGGTTCTTGTCGCGTTGAGTTTCGTGCATGAGCTGCTCGTACCCCTCTTCGCTTTCGAGTCCCTCACGCAGTACGGCCGGCTCGATACCCCGCATCACACTCAGAAACAACGCCCTGTTTGCTTCCCTTTGCTCGGCCGTCCACTGAACATCCGAGTACACCTTCTCTACGACACGGATATCTCGAAACCCAGCATCGCTCAGCATAGACTCAATCGTCGCGAAGCGGTCGGAGACGAGGCACCCGCGTTTGGTAAGTAGCGCGCAGATTAGCCGCTCGGCGCGCGTCCGCTCGACGCCATCTTCTTCCGGCTCGCAACCCATAGAGGACTCCATAAGCTGCACCCATCCACCGGGTTTCAGAACGCGGTAGAGCTCGCGCAGGGCAACGGGCCATTGAAAGACAGTGAGACCGCCGATTAGGAAGCGCTGGTTTATGAGCGTGAAGCGGGAGGTCCATGAGGATGGTAGGGAGAGGACAGAGTGGACGTCGAAGGAGACAGATGGAGGAATATCAGTGGGAAACATGGACGGGTTGATGTCGATTCCTGTGAATGAGACGCCAGTAGAGGAAGCGAACGAACGCGCAAGGTCGAGTGTCCAGAGCCCTTTGAGTCGTAAACGCGTAAATGCGTGCAGGGATACGCCTACTGTTAGCATCGGTGGCGCTAGACTCATGAATCTTGAGCGACTCACCGGAACCGCACCCACAGTCCAGCACTTTATCTCCATCCACGAGGTTGACTGGAGCAAACGTGAATTGTCCGTCGAAGCAGAACTTGAGGAGTAGATATTGGGTTTCGAGTCTGCCGGAATGTGAAACGATACACATATAAACGATTTTACAAAGTGCTAGATTCAGCTCGTGCGCAAATGTTTTCTAGATGCGATACGTACCTCGCGGCTTCTTCAGCATCCGATGGAAGTGGATAGGGACCATCTGCCCCAGGCATTGCAATGTTCTTAACCATAAGCAAGGCCGTTTGTGACGCGTGGACGTCCTGAAGCCCAGTGGAGAGCGAGACGGGGTTGTGGGCGAGGGAAGGATTGCAACGAAGCCATGCCAGGCAGAACCACTTTGGCACCCATTTCGATCCGGAAAGTTGGTACGAAACACCAATCACAAAAATTAGCTGCCTGCACTTGTGGGGCTTTGTGAACGCATTGGGATCTCTCCGCACCCGGTAGCGAGCTTCTAGCCTATAGCGTTGTCCTCGTGTCAGAAGCCGAGAGCAGACCACATTGGGTATGGTCTCCGAACTAAGTCCCCGAGCTAGAAGAGGCTAGAAGCATTGTGGCAAATCTAGCACTCCCCATCTGAGGCTGAGCGGAAGTAAAGTGCTGATAGACTCCGCTGATTGTCGATCTATCATGTTGATGTTCGTAGTCAGTTTAGGTCAGTTTACATGTAACGCTGTGGATGATTACGCACCGCGGACCGACTGCTGCCCACCCAGTCACTGACTCACTGCCGATATCCCAACATTTTACTCGCATCCGACTTCAGTGCAGTCCAAACTTCAAGCTCCTTTCCATCTACTGATCGCTATGATACCCATCTCTCGGTACTGCTTGACGCACTTCCCGACCGTAACAGGACCGTGCCTTTGAAGTCATTCGGGCAAGACGTAGCACCCGGTAGGCTACGTATGTGACTATCGGTGAGGATACGTTATCGGGTAGTATTGAAGCAATACGCACTACAATGTCAATCAAGATGATTACAGAACGTCCCGAGGAAGATTGGGTCTGTGTATCGCTCCGCGCCTGCACAGGATACCACAGAGTGGACGATATACCTGAAGACATCACCTTCGCAAATGATTAGGTTATCAGCATGCATGACGGGTGACTTTGCATATACCATATTTACTTGTCCTTTTAATGTGAGATTACCGTCTAGGATGTGGTTGAGATAAACATGGGTGTGTACACGAGCGGGTGACAACGCTAGACAACGATGCTCGCTTAGCTACCAGGCACAGTGACCCGTTGTTGGCAGTGCGTCTACACACCATTTGGATGCACGGCATAGTGGCAGACTCGCTGGTAAGATATACTCTTAGCTATGAAGTTGTTGCACGGAGAAACAACGTCGCACCTCAGAGTTATGGGTAGACGTCAACTTGAAGACGTTGGTGATCATGGGACGGGTTGGCAACGAGACATACTCTGTACCTATGTGCTACTATGACCGCTATTAGTGTCACAGTGAGGTTAAGGCATGAGCAGAGGTAGGCAGTACGGAGGACTTCGTACCTTGTTGTCGGAGAATCTCTGTTAAACTTGAGAGAGAGAGGGAACGACGAGAAGATCGAGAAGAGGCAATTGTCGACGGGTACTATGGTCTCATTACTGCATATATGCGCGCATATATGGACACTCATCAGCACCTCACCCAACCGGGTCACTAGACTTGAATCGCGCTACCGTGTGCTGGTATACCAGCATGTCCTTCCGGAATAACGTCACCTCCCCAGGTTTAGCCATAGTCGTGCAAACGGATAGACATCCATATTAGCCATCGCCTTAGCCATCGCCGAAACGGTCGAGATCGACGGCGCCGTCGGTTGGTGTTGTGAATGCTGATCTCAGGCTATAGTCAGGTCAGCTAGACAACGTGGTTCGAGTTGACGACAGATGGTGAAGGGAGATGTAAAACGCTACAGAACGATTCGAGGTCGCGCTAGCTTGGGATAGGAGGTTTCAGAGGAAGCGTGCGAGAAGGCCAGGGAGCGAAGGGCGACGGAAGATGCTGCGAATAAGGCAACGGAAACAGTCAGGGTAACGGATGCGTGCTATAGGGATGACGATTTGAACGTTAGTAATGATCTCACAAGTCCTCGGAGCTTTGATCGTTGATGACGGAAAGTTAGAGGATAGATTAGACAGAGAATGATGCACCCCAAGTAAGCATCGGTCTGGAACAACCGATGCTGGGGTCACCAGAGATGACTGCAGGGAAGATGCTGGCGGCATCGATATCATGGTGAGCCAACTATCCTGTATCCGCGTTTCTATCCTGTTCAATTACGCACAAGAGGAGGATACTGGGGTATGGTACTACATCAGACTCTACCAACAAAACCCTGAGGCCGTCCGCGCCCGAAAGTGTCAAGTCCACCGACATGTAATCATGAGCCCAAGAGATAAACGAGTGTCTAATGTTCTACGCAGTGCATCCGTATAGCCGCGAGACATGTTGGAAGGGGGGAGAGGGAGGAAGTAATATACGTCGGCGTCCGGTGCGGCGGGGTAGAAAAGGGGTTGAAGTGAAATAAGGTGAAGGAAAAGAAGAGAGAAATGGGACGTGAAGAGGTGAAAGGCGGAAAGTCAAGGAGCTCGTATTCGGATCAACCTGGGATGTGAGGAGACAATGGGCGCCTGTGTGCGAGAAGCGACGAGCGAGGGTCCAGCCAGACCAGCTGTTCGTGTGCTCGTGGTCCTTTACGCAGCTCACAGCAGGGCCGAGACCATCGCGAGTGCCGTGCCTCCGACGACTGCGAGCCCGACGTTCGCACTCCATATTTGAGTAGCCCCGTTCGTGGCAGCCGCATCAACCTGGACATTCTCCTCCTGCTCGAAGCTGCGCTTTCTGGACGGCGTCTCTGGCGGGGGCGTCACATTCCTGAGCGGTTGCGTGGGGAGCATGATAGGGCTTGTCGAGATTTGGTACTGGGGAGGGAGGGGCGAGCCGTCAAATTGGTACAGCTGGAGGATGTAGCCGAGCGTAGTATCACGCGAGATGCCCCACTGGGCGTAGAGTTCCGTGTCGTTGTAGTCCTGCATGAAGTTGGAGACAGCAGCGCAGGCGTCCTGGATTTGCTGGTAGCCGTCGCCGAAGGGTGTCATTGTAATGGATCCGTTGGGCTGCAGGGTGTATTTGCCGTGCGCCCAGTTCATCACCCCGGTGATGCAGTTTGGTGCTGAGCCTGGACAGGAGGGCGAGTCAGGAGGGGAAGAAGAGGAAAGGGGTGAAGGATAAGAAGAGACGAACCATTGCCCTCCATACGATACCGTGCGATCTCATAGTATCCATCGGTGGTGCTATATGGAGATGATGAGCTCCTTACCCCCGTTGACAACACAGGACTAAAACTTACAAAGAGTACGACATACCAGTCGTGGCGGGATAGTGGAATGACACGTTGTTCGGTGATGCAAAGCTCTGGAAGAGCACAAGCAAAAGAAGTCAATCATTACCAGTCGCTGTAAGACCAGGTGAGACTGTCATAGGGAAGAAAACGTACCGGTCCAGTGATGACGTTCTTGCTGCCGGATGCCCATGTTCCGTAGATAGTGGTAATGTTGTGTGTGGGTGTGTACTGAATGGTAGTGCCCTGGCCAAGGACAGGGGAGATGAGGGCCGCAGCGGCGGCAAGGGCAGCGAGGAGTTGCATTCTGGATTGGTCGAGAGTCGTCGGTAGGGGAAGGAGACTGATGAAGTCCTGGGTCTACTGCTGGATTACGAGTTTTCTACTAGAGTTGGAGTGTGTTACCAGAGGCTGCTGGCTGCGGAAGTGCGCTGGGCACAGCGGAGGGGTACGAGGGCGAAAAAGGTGGTGAAACGTTGGGGAGACGAGGTCAATGCGGGCGACGACGAGGAGACGGTGGGAAGGAGTGGAGTTGCTGTTTGGCTTTATTTGGCTCCTTTCTTTGTGTCGCCGCCTGTCACAAGTTTGTCTCGGCCCCCGCCGCGCCGGAACCCCATCTTAGTCTCAGACATCCATTACGCTCTCTGAAGCCATGTACAGCATTCTACTCCAACCGCGTTAAAACTCTATATGTGACCACCCTACCTTTCATCATCGTACATTTTCCTTTGCTTCTGCTATCCAGACGAACTGGCGCTGAGCCAGCGTGTTCAGGTCTGTTCAGGTCCGATCTGCGACCTCACGGCTCGGCGCGAATCGCGCCTTACGTTTAGGTCTGTCAAGCATCAACGCCTAGGGGCTACATCCCCGGTCTCTACTGCTTAGGATAGCTTAGAGACCTCCTCAGTCCCTTCATGGTGGCGTCGGCGGTGAACGGGGAGTCCAAGCTCGAAGCTGCGGGTCCTTTCCTCGATGGTACGCATAGTTCATGATGAGTGTGCTAACTTAGCTTGCCACTTGTACTCAACTTTATATTTCCTATACAGAACGTGGTTGCCCCTTCGACTGCCGTGCTGATCGCCAATCGACCTCGTCACTTGTGCAAGGATTCTGGCTTATAACACGTCGTCTTCTCCGATGCCCTAGTCGTCATCAAGTCAGGTAGTGATGAGTTGGTCCTGATTTAGGATTCAACGTTACTTTCTCAATATACATCAAAGGTGAACGCTATAGTGAGTGTCAATCCTGACGCTTTCAGTTGGCGACAGCTGACGTTGAGCTTGGGTGGCGGAAAAACTCGAGTGGATCACTCGGCGTAGGTCCTCCCTCCAAATGTAATCTCGTGATATTCTAGCAGCATTGTTTCATCTCCTTATCGCCCGACGCGTAACCGGCCTTCTCGTCTCCATGGGATGCTTTAGGCGTGACATATACACGCCTCATGGGTCGCCTCGTGTCTTGGCCCTCCGCACTCATCGTGACGCTTGGCATATTGACCTTCATCTCCTGTTCAGATCATCAGTGGGGCGTAAATGTCTCGTTTGTGATCAGCGTCACTTTCTCGAATTGGCTTTTCTGCCGCTTCAGAGCGCGCCTGTTTTCTCAATCCCGATTTTGAAGAAAGTTCATAATGCATATCAGCCTAACGTCAATCTATCACCGTATGATTCATGCCCCAAACAGACCCTAATATGTGTATGTGGAGTGGGTACAAGTCTTAACCCAAACTACATGACGGCACAGGCGGTAAAGTTAAGCAAGGAGAACAAAGAACGTACCTCGGCGATGATGACGGGTGGGAGTATGGCTACTTTGTTACAAGAGGGGGGTCGTGAAGCAAATAAATCGATCACATACGTAAGTCTTAGTTAAGAATTTACCTCTACATCCAGGATGCATTAGAGTCGACTGTCAATTGGACAGGTGGTATCACGTTCTATCAAGTAGTTCCTACTGCGCGTAGCGGAACACTGGATATTGACTTTCATAACTTACATAAAGCCTGTAATTTCCGACTCTTGTAACGTGGCGGCGGCTTGTACAAATACAGTCCGCCAAACCTTTTACATCGAAGTGTCCAAATGCCAACTCTAGGAAACCTGAGACACTGGACCCATCGTTACGTGAGTGCCGGTGTGACCGCTCCTACGCGCTTGATGTATCGAGACGCCTTCAGCTCTTATCTTTGCCCAAGGTTTCGATCGTGAGTCTGAAGAGTACGTCCGTGCGAACAGCCAAAGTGTAAATCGGATCAGCTCATTTCCGTACTTAGGCTTGGAGCTCCATCTCCAGAGCTAACTTTGAATGCGCTTACTCCCCAAGCTACAGACTCCGCGTCAAATTTAGCATCAACTCTTTGGACCCAGATGGGCAGTCGAAGGCCGCAAGGGACCAGCACACCATCTCGATTTGAAAAGGGCATGAGGGAAGGCAAGCTGACGAACGGACGGACAGACGATGAGCAGTTGGCAGTTACGCCGCATTTTGTGAAATCTCGGCATGACAGTGTCACTGACCCGGGAAACCCCTTGATTTTATATCAAAGAATGCGTCACCTCGCAGAACTTTGGAGCCTGCATGGGGCAGTTCTACGCCTGAGCCAAAGGACAATTGTAGAAGAGAGTTTAACCAACGGTGACCGAACTCTCGGACCCCCACACGGATCCTGCATCTATCCTGCTCTAGATCTTAGGACAAATCTGCATCCAAGCACATCCTCTGAGCTGTAAAAATGTGGCCTATCGGTTGGAAGACAATGAAACATCAACATTAAGCGAGAAACATGTAGGCACGAGTCGCGCTCTTCGGTATGAAGATTCTAGAGACTTTTAGAATCAAACGTCATGCTGTGCGCGGCGGAAGGAAGGTAGAACCCGCCCGCGCGTGTGGTTGTTACGTCTTTCATACCAGAAATGCCGTGAACAAACAGCGAGATCAGGGTCCTAGTCTAGACTAGCTTTAACAGAGATGACTTATGTCCAAAAATGTGTTTTTGGTGATCATGGGGACGTGTTTCGTTCAGGAGCGAGTTGATGGTATTAACCAAACGCGTCGTTTAGGCGCAGCGGTCTTTGCCGATGGCAAACGTCGAGCGTCAGCAGACATGGAACTCCGAGGAGTAGCAAACCACTTGGTCGCACAGGTTCTTTGGATAGAGTTGGGGGTCCAAGCGGGCGCAAAGTGCGGGGCTGTCGTTTGCTTCCTGAACATCTTGAGCGGTATGAAAAATCATTCAAAAGGAGGTCGTAAGGGAGTTTCTCTTCAGCCTGAATGCTAAGATCCTTCCGTTGCTGAGAGAGTTGACGGCGTGGTCCTGTGCTTGCAAGCAATGGCCGATTTCCTGGGTCCTGTGTGGAAAGCGACAAGAGGGGCCGGCAGAAAAATGACGGGCCGATTAATCAGCTTGCAACGAGGCCAATTTGCGGGACAAGCGAAATAGCGAAGCGTGAATTATTTCAGAGAAGGTTTAGCACCTTCAAGGCAGTCATTCGTGGCCAACTAAGACGAATGGGTTTGGCGAACGCTCAAACGTTGCGAGAGATGTGGATGGCAATTTGATGCACATTATCACCTTCGAGCTGGGATGGAGTAAGCGAAGCCGAAAAAGCTCCGAAGTCGACTAAATATTCCCAATGCGGAAATTTGAACCTTACTCCTCCCGCTCCGTCCGCTCCGTCCACTCATCGACATCCTCAGCTTGCCTCGCGGTTGCTGACATTGTTTGCTCCCCTGTCACCCACTTCCTTCCCGGTGAATGATACTGCATCGTTCTGGAACAATGGATAGGACAATCATCGGAGAAGCAGAAGCAGCGGTACAAGGTGAGTGTTTTTTGTTCAATGGGAGCGGTAAATGTGGCTATAATCCGCTCGCGAAGATCACTGATAGTTTCCTCTCTGGTCAGTCAAAATCCGTTCTATAGAGGCCAAAGTAACCATGGAACTACGCCACTCCATCTTGTGGCCGGACAAGCCACTAGAATATGTCATACTTCCGGAAGATGCAGTCGGTCACCACTTCGGCGCCTTCCTCCCTTCGGATGACCAACTTGTCGCTGTGATATCGCTCTTCGAAGAAGGAGTCCCTGCAGAGGTATCACCTCAGCCCAGCATTACCTCCACGTCTGAAAGCCCACGCGCCGTACGCTTCCGCAAATTCGCTTGTGCTTCTAGTTATCAGGGGCGCGGGATAGGCACAGAACTACTGAGGCATGTCTGCGATTTTGCCAAGGTCAGGATGGGCGCAAAGACGATATGGTGTGATGCTCGCACATCCAGCCTTGATTGGTATCAGAAACGCGGGTTAAGCCCATTTGGGCCTCGCTTTTACAAGGGACCCGTAGAGTACGTTCGGATTCGGATGGATCTTTGAGAGTTAGTCGAGCGATAGTCGCTCTTCTCGGTTCCCAAAATCTGGCGGTGAGTGCGTGACAGCGCGCTCAGAGGTTCGCTGATCTCTTTCTGCTCAGATGACACGTATATCACAGCCGTGAAATGGGTACATGGAAAAATACAAATTTTGAGGTCGTTTTGACACATTCCCTGTCCTATTATATATTATCCTTCAGACGACACTAATCGACCTGGTTTTCCATGTCTGCCGTTTTGGCGAAGCGCACTTAAATACGGGCCGCATACCGATGATAGTCAGCGCAATTTGCAAAGCGCTAATGTTGTTATCCACTCAACTTTGCGCTTGTGGATGCACAAACGCGTCATGACAGACGTTTTAGACTTCAGGAAATAAGCTAACTGAATAGATTTGCGGCGAAGCTGCACTCCGCGAACAGAATATCCCTCATCAGAGCGGACATCACATTGCTGTCGGGCTGCAACGTGGCAAGATAATCCATCACGAGGTGATCTCAAACAGTGTTTGCTATGTTCCCCTTATTTGCGCCCACAAGGCTGGTCAGCCCGCATCTAACAACCCACTTTTAGCCTCGTGACGAAGGCGACATCACGACCCTGCCCTCACCCCGTCACACAATGGGAAGGTCCTCATCCAAGTCTGTCTTGTCCTAGAACATCGTGGAAAGGACGATGCACAGGCACGCTAATATCAAGTCTGTTCTCCGTGACAGCAGGCCCGGAACGGACATGGCAGCTCCACCAGGACAGCAAACCTAATTGCAAGAAGGGATCAGTCCCGGTGTGCCCTTAGTTTCTGGTCACGATCTATCCGCGTTTATCGCTACTTTTCCTTGTGATGGTGCGCCAGGGTTACGAGACGCTTGTCGTACCGGTCATCTGATTAAACGATGCTTACTCTCCGACGGATATCTTTCTTGACATTTATCGGGCGGTGCATCGAGCTGCGGGTATAAAGGAGGCTATGAACGACGGTACTAAGGTCAGAGAATTCATTCTTCCTCCCCCCGATCCATCCTCATTGGTCTCATCCCCCCAGGCTGAAGCCTCGGAGTCACCAGGAGCCTTCGTTGTTCCGGCGTACTGTTTGGTTATGGAAACCCAGGTCATGCGAAAATGCCGCTATTTCTAGTTGGCGCCGCGGCCCTTGGTTCATAGCCAAGACAGTATGTCGTACCACTGTTGCACTGTCTACCGCTGTCTCTCGCCGGTCTATTGACTTCCTTAGTTTCTGTCTCATGGTATCCTTCAATCCCATGCACTATCACCATTCTACTCGTCATACCTGATCGTTCAAACTATGTTGTGCCGTTTTCATTAGCCACACGTGTATTATGCTCCTTCTACCTATTTTCATAGGCGTCTGGAACGTTGAAAGCATATTTAGACTTTGATACTTCTACCTATGGCTTCGATGGCCCCGCAACCTACAGTTTTCCAGCTCCTTCCGGATGTAAGAAGCCATTATGACGTAGCCGATAGTCAAACTGATAAGAACTCGGATTATCTAGTCTATCCATCGTGGATTGTGCATCATACATGATACATCACGTCAAACCATTCTATGCGATGCTAAACGGCGAACAGAATACTATTGGAGTAATAGATCGTTATCATCTACTGTAGCAGCACAATGATGCAAGGGACAGGTACGCTAAAAACAAGAATGACCCCGACGATCACCGAAAACACGTGGCATACTACGTCTCCCCGTCTGCGACGGCCGCATCTAAAACCTCCAGTAAGCTCTAACAGCTCAGGCTGCCGTTGCCTTTGACATCATTGAGCAAGTTCAAATGCAACAAAACTTTAACCTACTCGAACCCACAACCACGGCCGAGCTCCGACCGACTCCAAGCTGATTCAACATTCAACGTGCCACTGCCTGTAGTGAACGATTGAGTTTCCGAGGCCGAGGAACCGGTCGCCGCAGGGACAGCCAGCCCTAGGCTTGGACCGGCGTGCCTGGGTATTCGTCGTGCAAAAGCAGACAAAAGCTTAAATATGAGCCGAACTTGGGCCCGGCTTACCGATCGCGTCGTGTATGTGCGCCACTCGCCTACCCCGCACCCATCTGCAATGTTTATTTCCAGTGCGTATGCGTCATGATCTGCAGGTACGGAGGGAAAGGGCAAACATTCCGTGCAGCTTTGCGCATGTTTCCGCTGATCGCGGCCGTCGAAAGATGGTGGTGTCCAGCACGAGGTGGCGGGTGCTTCCGCATCCACTCGGATGTTATTCTAAGATGAGTATTTCATATACCAGGTAAGGCGGAACAATGCAAGCGGCCACGGCGAGCTGTCATAAAGAACGTCGTAAATATGTCCAAACTGCCGAGATAAAATGCGGTGCTCCTCACCTTGCGGCGTCCTCAAATATAGACTTCATGTAACCGGGTACACACCATGCCTATAGTCAGCATCATCGGCGAGTACTCAGACCGGGAGCCAGCCAAGATGAGTCTGCTGATCGCACATACTATGAAGCAGGCACCTATATATGATGCAATCAATTAGTAAGGCGCTCCGTACGATTGGCAGGAAATAAGAGCCAAGACAAGCCCGTAAGACTAACAGAACGATGTCAATGTCGCATGCATGTGTGCTTTGGTCCCGATGGCTGCTCGAAGCGGCATCAGTTGTATCAAAGGCCACAGGCAGCAGCTAGGTCAGCCCATCCGGAATATAGCACCTACCGTAGGTACCTAAGAACAGCTTCAAAATCTTCACGTAAGTTCATCAGAGTACTTCCCGACAGGACAGATGTTCAAAAGCCCAGAGTATGTAAGGCTGTGTACATGAGGTATGATAGGAAAGCTACGCGTGACACAACCCTTCCAGGATCGGGCCGCGTTTTGAGGATATTGTAGCCAAGACTGTAACTCCAAGATTTTGCCAAGCTTGGTTTATAATTTTGGAAAAAAGGCACAGAGAGCAACGATGAGACACCCACTGCGTTGAACGGAAATTATGTTACCAAATCCTTCGCTAACTTGATCCCGGTGAAACTAGCTCCAGTACAGACGCATAGCGTGGACCAAAGAGACTCCAGAGAGTTCCTCCAAATATAGAGCCTCCAGGAAACCGGAAATTGGGATAACAAAGGATACCAACTCAATCAGGGTAGAACTACTCAATATGACTGAATGTCGTCGAGGGATGCCTGTCAACAACGAAAGCTGATCTGTCAGTGGACGGTCACGTATATTAGCGTGTGCTAGAGCTGAGAGAAGATCTGTATTTGTATAATACTTCTCCAAACAAAACAAAACTGTTAAGACGCGGTCGCGGCACCCGCGGTGCTCGTGCGTACGTGTAAACGTGAAGGTGTTGTACAAGAAACTGTAAGCGTATGTCCTAGCAGACTTTGACACGTGTTTATAAACCTCGCCCACTAAGTGTACACACCTACAAGGGTGCTCCACTCTCAGTCGTTGCATATTCTTATGCATGGATGGACGCATGATGATACACGTTGTTGGAGTCTACCAACATTTCTTCGTATACAGCTCTGAAGCAGATCGCCTTCGGTAGTAACGTCAACGTCATCGGATAGTACCATCACCCGTTCGTCTTGGCTACATAATAGCGATGACTTGTCTGCATCAATCCGATAAGACCACAGGACACGCGCCGATACACCGGGATAGCGGACAAGTAGCAAGGAAGAAGCTGCATGCAGATGACCGGCAAGGTACTGTATACGATGGCTATCTAATTGCAGCACGCACCGGGTGGCGGCGGTGAACGTCGAACTGAATGAGCTGCTGGAGGGGACTTACCGACGGCTGTCGCTGAGTAGCCGATGACGACGATGCAGAGCACGCAAACCGCGTGTATACTCTAACGTTAACGCGCATGGTGATCATGGGCAACGACCCCGCGACTACGTTGCAATTGAGCTGGCCTCACGCAGCTCAGCCTGAACCTTAAAACGAAACTGTATTGATGCTTCTGCAGAGCGGCCCGAGGTTGTTGATCTTCCTCGGCTTGAGCGTCACGGGCACGTCCACATGTGGATGAGGTATTATTGCAACAGACAGCGAGTATGCGTTTGAGTATGTACAGTGTACAGGTTTGCAAATGGACGGACGTAATGGAGAGCATTGTCGAAGGGCGGGATGGGGGAGGCAAGAGGCGAGATCATCAGGAGAGGCGTGATGCAAGTGAGGGATGACCCGTTCGGTCCGAAGAGCCGGTCCGGCCGATCGAGGCGGAGGAGGATGCGTGGATCGAGCCCATCTCTGCACCTGCGAGGATCACTTGAGCAGCTCCTGGACGATCCTGTCATCGTGTATGTTGGTGACGTTGCTCCCGCGGTAGTTCAGCCGCCGGAGAACATCGATCTGCAGGATAAGCAGCCGTCTCAGCAACAAGCACCCAAAGACGCCACTTCGATTCGAGGAAAGCTCACCACTTTACCGCGCTCGAACCCCAGCTTCTCGAACTTGCCCACATGCACCTCCTCCAGCCCCGCGATTGCGACCTCGTTCTTGGGCGCCTCCGTCGCGCCGACTGCGCCACCGGCCGCACTACCCTTGCCCTTACCCGCGCCGGCATACACCTGGGTCCAATAGCGCGCGGTATCCTCAAAGCTCTTCTTGCTCGTCGTGTAGTGCTTCGCGACCTCGGCGTCCTGCGGGTCATTGGGCTCGGGCGAGCACAGCAGCGACTGCAGCGAGATCAGGGTGCTCTTCAGCGTGAGGACAGGCGACCAGGCGTCCTTGAGGATGTCGAGGCAGATGGCGCCCGAGGCGGAGGAGACGTTCGGGTGGTAGACTTTGGTGATGAACTTCATTTTGACGGGTTGGAAGGGGTACGATTCGGGGATCGCGATGTCCTGGGGAATGCGCGTATCAGCATCCAGGTGAGAGGTCGAGAAGGTTGTACTGACCACCTCGAAGTGGCCGCCCTCATACGGCGTGCCTGATGGTCCAGGGAACGAGCCTTTGAGGTGGAACGGCGAGTCGCCAATGAGATCAATGGTTATGTTGGAAGTTTTGTCATTCTTGCAATCTAGGGAGCAGGAGGACACCACGTGGAGGCAAGAGAGCAGAGGCCAGGGTCAGGCCAGACTATCGGGCGCGCGATCTGGAGAGTGAAGTGCACGACACCTGAGATTTCCTTGTTGACGCGACGTAATCTGGCGTCCATGTTGTGTTGTTTTTGTTCGAGTCTGTAAAGATGAAGAAAGATGAAGCAAGAGGAGAAGAGGCGGGTGGGGGAAGCGAAGTAGACGGGGGTGGGAGTGTGTTGTAGAGATCTTCGGACACGGTCCGTGAGCAGGGGGCGTTATCTCGCCCAAGGACGTGACTTGAGATCCGCGTGACGTGCTGGTGACTCTGTTACTAATTTGTGACACCTGTGTAACTAGCATTACGACGTGACCGGCGCGCTGACCCGGCTCTTTCCCGATGGTATCGCCGGCGATGTCGTCTGGACTCCCAAGTCGGCCAAGGTCGGCGCTTGCTACTCATATTCGTTTCTAAGATTTAGGCCATCAGCATCTCACCCTCTTTGATTTTCACCAAAGCCATGGCAGACCCCAACATGCGACAGAATGTTGAGGACTACATCCTCGACCTTCAAGACAGGATTATCGCCGAGTTCGAGGCTATTGAGCTCGCCCACAACCCCTCGCTCGCTAATGATCCTCCGCGCTTCAAACGCGACGAGTGGATTCGCCCCGCAGGCGGGCGCGGCATCTCCTGCACCTTCTCCTCTCGCAACATCTCATCTTCCTCTGACGTCGAGACAGTCCTCGAAAAAGCAGGTGTCAACATCTCCCTCGTGCACGGCAAGCTCCCACCCCCCGCCATCCAACAAATGCGCGCAGACCACTCCTCGATCCCTTACGACGGTGTGAGCAGCCTCCCGTTCTTCGCAGGTGGCCTCTCCCTCGTTGTGCACCCACGCAACCCGCACGCGCCAACCGTGCACCTCAACTACCGCTACTTTGAGATCACCAAAGAAGAATCCAAAGACGGCCAGCAGCCAGAAGTAGTCGCGTGGTGGTTCGGCGGCGGCTCCGATCTCACACCCAACTATCTCTACCCCGAGGACGCCACGCACTTCCACGGCACTCTCAAGGAGGCGTGCTCTGGCTCTGGGGACGACGCATACAAGCAGATTTACCCGGCGTTCAAGCGCTGGTGCGACGAATACTTCTACATCCCGCACCGACGCGAGACGCGCGGCATCGGCGGAATCTTCTTCGACGACCTCTCCACCGAGCCGCACCCCCGCCTGCCCGACGCCTCCGACCGCCCCACCACGCAGTCCGCCATCTTCGACTTCATCAAGGCATGCGGCGACTCTTTCCTCCCGTCCTACGTCCCCATCCTGCGGCGCCGCATGGACGCGCCGTACAGCGAAGAGGAAAGAAGGTGGCAGCTCCTCCGCCGCGGGCGATACGTCGAGTTCAATCTGATTTACGACCGCGGGACCAAGTTCGGGCTGCAGACGCCCAGTGCGCGGATCGAGAGTATTCTCATGAGCCTGCCGGAGACGGCCAGGTGGGAGTATATGACGGATATGGGCGAGGATGGGGCGAGCAGGGAGGGAAAGCTGCTCAAAGTGCTGGGTCGCCTCAATGAGGCGAAGAGCACGGACGGGAGCAAGAGCGTGGAGTGGGCGGACGAGGCGGCTGTCGAGACACTCAGAGAGGAGCTGGATCTCTAGGTGAGCAGCGCATTCGCTTGCCTTGAATGAAATCGTTCGACTCATGTTCGTACCAGGTCATGTCAATCAGATTTTAACTCCTTCGAAATGTATAGTAGCCCAAGCGCAAACATGTACATCATAGCATATTAACCCCCCTCATTCACTGCGTGGAATACACCCCATCTCCTTCAATCGATCATCATCGCATCATCCCCCGCCCGTACCCACCTGCCCTTGTCCTGCCCGACCATCAAGAGCTCTTGTTCATATCCTGCTGCGCCTGCCCCTTCTCATTCCTCGCATTCCCTACACCATCGAACACCCCAGTCAGCACACCATCCCCATTCAGACCAGTCACAGCGCAGACCAGCGACTCACCAGAAGCCTGCTGCCCCTTGTCCCCCGTCACCGCACCCACGACACTGTCCTTGTACCCCATCGCGCGGTCCTTGGTCCCCTCCGCGCGCCCTTTAGCTTGCGCGGCCTTGTGCTCCGCCTCGCCCTCGGCGTGCTCGTCCTTGCCTGATTTCTGCCACGACTGCGCGCCGGTCGCGTTGCCGACGGCCTCGACGGCCGTGCCTTTCATGGAGCGCAGCTGGCCGTTGGTCTTGCTGTGGGTGGTGTCAGCGGGGGGGCGATAAGCTGTGTGGATACAAGGGCATGGTCAAGGCAGAGGGACGAACCTGGGCTGGGTGTAGCTGTTGGAAGACATGATGACGACGGTGGTGGTTTGGTTTGGGTGATTGGCTATGATGTGATGTGATGTGATGTGATGTGAGAGTGAGGAAGCGGAAAGGTGCTGAAGACCAGACGAACGACTACCCAGGTTTATATACGGCGACGACCATCATCTGCCCCTGGTGCTCGAGCCCGCCATCGCAGAGCCGACGCGAGACTCGGACAACGATTTAGGTCCTAGGCTGAGGCAGCCCGAAACGCCACCAGGTGACACCTACGACGCGTCTGGACTGAGAGGGCGGCGCCGTCCGAGTCGTGCGTGCTCACTCGAAGCCTTCGAGACTCCTTGCGGTCCACGACAAGTGTCCACCGACGATCGCGATCGCTGATACACTGGGCGCTTCATCACCTCTTGTCGCAGAGACCTCGGTACACAGAGCTGCAACGGTAGGTCGGGTATCGGGATCGGTGCTCCGAGGAGAAGGCCGTTACGACGCGGACCTGTGATTTTCGTCCGTCCGTCCGTCCGTCTGTCTCATTTGATGGACCAGTTTATAATCGTTATTTACCTCTTGGATAGCCTACAACATCTTGAATCCGTTTTCAGCTCTCGACACTCAGGTAGTATTATGGTCGTTGTATGCAGCATCCGCGGATCACTGGTCTCAAACATTATGATGTATCGCACAGCAGGTGATCCATGGAATGGATCCAGTGTACCCGACAAGCGTGATTTGATGGACTGACAGACGATCAGACTTGATCAGCACAATGCTCAGAGCGTGTTGCATGTGACGATAAGATAGCATAAATATAACCTCTTAAGTTCTTCTCTTGGAACCATACACGGCCAAGTCGCGGGGAACGCAATGCAGGTTTTTAGATGCAAGTGCGGTCACAAGTAAGGTTGACGATGTGCCCCACGAAGATACTCAGCCGCAACAAGTTGTAGCGTTTGGTGAAGGTTTGGTGAAGCTGTTATTATGGGCTACAGGTTATGTTACACTATGACTGATATAGTACATATGCGCGTTTGCATGGGCGTCAACGATGGTATATTCCGGCGCCGCCTATGAAGCGTTCTTGTTGAAGTCCTGCTGGGCCTGGCCCTGCTCATTGCGAACGTTGCCTGTGCAAAACAGAACACAGTAAACGTCAGCACCTCGCTCGCAATCCAAGTCTGCCTCGAAATGAATGGTGTTACTCACCCTGTGCCTGCTGGGACTTGTCGCCAGTGACGGCGCCGACGACGCTGTCCTTGTAGCCGCCGGCGCGGTCCTTGGCGCCCTCGGCGTAGCCCTTGGCCTGTGAGGCCTTGTACTCGGTCTCGCCCGCGGCGTGCTCTTCCTTGCCGGACTGCGTCCATGACTGGGCGCCGGTGAGGTTTCCGATCGCCTCGACGGCGTTGCCCTTCATGGAGTGGTACTGGCCTGTGGTCTTGCTGCTCAGAGAACATGTCAGCGGATGCGTTCAGAAGGCATAACAGAGGGGAAGAGAGACGACGCACTTGGGCTCGTTGTAGTTGGACATGGTGATGAGAAATAAGTTAAGGTTGTGATGAGGATTGTATGAGAGTTGGGTTGGTTGAGTTGTGAGTGTTGAACCATTGCCGACGAATCTCGAATTTATATACCCCAGCCCGACCCCGCTTCAGTGCTGTGAAGGCAGGGCACCGAGTACACATGTTGAAGGCGGAACGCTGAGATCGGGATGACGTAGTGGCGGAGGCGCCGGGGTGACGTCATACGCTGTTCTGGTCTAGCTGTCGTGGCCCATGTCCAACACGCCCTCGCGACGTTGGTCGTCCGACATCGACTAGAGTAAGCCCCGCAGGCACATGCATGTGATAACGTTTGGCAGAGAGGCTCCGATAATGACGAATTGTCGAAGGAGAAATAGGAAAACTCCACTCCATGTCTGTCAGCTTCTCGGTGGATTCTGTCAACGCTCGTCCAGAGGCGATCAACCGGATAGATGATGGAGCTATGACGGAAATGACGCTGAATGAGGTAGGTAACACCACAGTCTCCGAGAGATGGTTGACGTTGTCCCCCACAGAACTGGAGGATGGCGCCTGCGCGCCTAGGTGTACCGAGCATCGTCAGGGATTATCAGAAGTGCTCTGGTCTCGTTCGGGGTGTTCGGCATCCAGAAACTTCTATCATCTAGTCATTCCTCGAATCAGAGTCTGGTGTTGCCCGGGTATTATGAATAATAGCGCTTTGTGGAGAGAACGCGTCCAAGTAGCAGCTCGACCACGACGTCACGGCGAGAAAGGTGGTTCGGGCGTCGCCATGGCGGAGCTTGAATTTTTTGATGGGTGTAGACACAGCCACCGGCTCTAGCTTGTCTACCACACTGCAGACAAACGGCGATTTTACCCGGGATGAAACCGAGAGAAAGAGGCGGCGAGATGAAAGCCTTTTCCTCCGAGTTTTGGAATCCCCTTTTGCACAAGAAAAGGTATTCTTTTAGCCGACATTTGCGTCAGTTTTACGCTGGTAAATTGGGCGGGTTACCGAATTTGGACTGTACCTTCCTGATTTGGACGTGTTTCTATCTAATCTCTCCTCGCAAAGATGCAAACTCCGAGGCAAAAGTTTGACTTTCGAGTAACCTTTCACACAGCAAAAGATGGGTGAAAAAGGCTTTCATCTGGCCGCCTTCTTCAATCACTTCTCATAATGGAAAAATCACAGTTTGTCTGCAGTGCCAGCTAGGCTCATTATCGATTGAGGTTCCAATATTAATGCTGCTTTTACTTCGATGAATATTTTCCCAATTCTTCTATTCCCCCTGATCAAGTACGAAAAACTCTGTTGTGAAGACTTGTTGAAGACAAAAACAGCAATTAATCTATGCAGTAATCCGAGTCCTACCTAGTGATAATGCAAATGTGATAACGGGCATAAACACACGAAAGACGCTGATTACTACGTTGAAAGTTATTCGATGTCCTAGTATTCTATGTATTACACCACAATGCCAAAGATCAATTATCTAGAGGCTGTATCAACGCACGCCCACAGCCGCTCCCAGGCCCACTACCTCACAAAGGATACTTTAGCATAAGCCCACTAACACCCCGCATCGCCTCAACGCGATAATCATCCTGCGTGATCTGGAGCGGGATAGACCCATCAAGGAGAGTGAGCATGTTCGGCGAGTCTAACGTGTACCTCGGCCAGTTAATACTGGTGTTGCCGTTCGGATCGAGATTTGTAACAAAGCGGAGGAAGTAATCGGACATGGCTCCGTCTCCCCAGATGCTCTCCATGTCGGAGCCGTGGTACTGCAAACGGGGCGGCAGCTGTTGGTGAATTACGCTAAAAATACAGAGGAAAACTTACAGAGCCAAGGTAAGGTAGTGCCTTTGATTGCTTGCTCACTGCGCCAAACGTTAACACCATGGATACGGGGACGCATAGTAAGGACTTACAGAACGACCATGTCTCCTGTTTTCCAGCCCGCTGCTGCAAGAAGGAACGACGTGGGCCCTGGAATATCGCGTCACCCTGAAATGCCGCGAGACGTTTAGATTGGGGCGTTAGCGCATTCTGGTCAGATGTATTGAACGGCGATCCATCGGCTGGATCTTGTGGATATAGGTCCAGGATCTGCTTTACTTCGTCGACTGAGGCACCGGGGGTATAGTACATTTGTATGTAGGTGAGGAACTCATCGTCCGTGCTGAGATACACAGAGCGTCAGTGCATTGATGCTGATGTGAAACCAAGTTTACGGACTTACGTTACATTGAGGTTTGCGAATGAGAATATTGTGCCCTCATCGTTGCAGTCTCCAGTGACGAAGGGAACGTCAGCGACCGAGCCTTGCAGAACGAGCTGCTGGGGATCATCGGTGAGGAATATACCATCTACGCGTGGTAGCCATGCTAATGATAAGGACTATCATGTATTGGTGTAAGCCGTACACCAAAGCGACGAGTATCTATATGCAAACACGCACCTGGTAAGAGAAGATGTTAGGCGTGTTGTTGACCGCGTCCATCAGCGTATCATAAGGCACACCACGAAGACATTTCAACGTGTCAGATGAGTTTGAGCATCCTGTTTGGTTGACCAGAGAATCATAGTACACCTGCCCGTGAGCGATATCGCCAACCGGAATCGGTGACCCAGATTGCATGAAAGCAGCACGGAAAAGTCCCTCGGCATTTCCGCTGTTCGTTACCATCTGGAGGGCGACAGAGATCGCGCCTGCACTCTCTCCCCAGCTATTTAATGATGGTGCGTCAATTAAGGATGCTTACAACCTTCAAGAGGTAGGTACAGTAAACTTACATCGTGACCTTGGAAGGATCTCCGCCAAATTGGCCGATGTAGCGCTGGATCCACTTCAGTGCAAGGCGCTCTGCATCATTTTGTCAGCATGGGCTCCCATATTGATGTGGGTCTTATACTCACGATCTTGTAAACCGAGATTGCCGATTCCTGCCTCTTGAACCTCTTTGCCAGCCAAGAAGCCAAACGCTAGGGTAATCAGCACTTTAGTGCTCTAGTTCTTGAGGTAGAAACCGAGACGCACCGTTTACACTGGACCAATATTTTGATCAGCACGAGGTCACTCTTAGAGACATCATGCTTACCGGTAATTGATGCTCACATACACAACAGGAACTCCGAGGTCGATGCTTTTGTTAACAATCACTGAGCCATCGGTGCTGTAAAGCGTCACATCTTAGCGGAAGTCATAGATATGGAGTGAAAACGTACGCGGCGGGGTCCCCAGCCTCAAACCCGCCTGTGCAATGAGATGGGCGTGAAGGAAGGTAAGGGTACGATAGTTTGAAACATACCACCGAATATCCACTAATAGGACCGTGAGCCAGTCGTTTAACATTAGTGTATGCGGAACGTACCACAATCACAGGGTGTTTGGATCCCACAGATGCGTTAGCCGGTGCAATAACGTTCAGGCTCAGACCTGTATACGTCGATATTGCATGAGAATCACCTACGATGTGCAGAAACACAAAGGCGCTTACAGTCCTCTGAGATCGTACGAGTGCTCCCGGAATTCATAACCTCCAAGACTTCCTGAGTCTCAGCAGGTAAATCACTAGGTATAGTCAGATTAAACGCTTGCTGAGGGCACACTGGCCCGTATGCGGTTGCGGGGAAACTTTCATTATAGCTGGGTAGTGGTCGTGGGAGCTGGAAGCGCAGGGATCCAACGCTGGAGAAAAACATTGTTACCAGCCATGTCACATTACTAGGTCACGTACGTACGGAGGCTGAGCGAACGGAATGCCCAAGAACTGGTTCACAGTCCCGTTAGCGATTCCTGTGACTGTCGTGTCGTCCAGCTGCACCACAGGATCAGCACGCTTAACCACACTTCCTGGTATCGCCAGAGAGGAGGCAGCTTGAAGTAACAAGATCGAGAAAGTCGGTGAAAGTAGCATCGAAGTGGCGAATGTTGAAGATGTGTACGCGGTTAGAAGCTGGCGACACCCCCGTATTTAACGGCACAGAGGTCTGTTTTAGGGGCTAATTAGTCCCACGGGGCAGAGTGCCGGCCAGCTGACGCGTTCGTTCGTCAGACGAATATGACAGCCTTGAGAGCATGTGGTTTGCATGAGACTTCGTGCTGAAACACCGGTGCAAAAGACTAGCCGAAGCCGAAGCTGACGAGTCCATTCGTCGTCGAGTAAATTGCACTCAATGACCACAAGTCGATGACAGAACCAGCGCGTTTTCCTGGCAAGCGATTCAAGAAGGATTCGTTCATATTAGTAAGGCCTTTGCTTTCGCTTGTGCCCCTCGGTGTTATGGGGAGCTAAATTTGATGACGCGTTTCACTAAGTATATGGAGATTGAAGGCTTGATTGAAGGTGCGGACGAGGAATTGGCGTGTGTCGGATGTAGAAGACTGAGGCTGGACTTAGGAATGCAATGTGGATGTGCGAGGGAGCGTTTATTTTCCGCCATAGCAGGAGGATCGACGACGAGCAATGGGGAACTGTCAGCAGAAAACGAGCGTAATTGAACCTTCTGGGAACTGACTTGAAATTATACCAAGGCAAGGTGTAGCACTGGCGCCGTGTAGTAAGACTACCGGAAATTTCCGCGCCGTGCTGTCGGGATACTATGGTTCGACGATTTCGTCGGGCGCCCATCGAGGAAGACGTCTTACCCACCCAGGCAAGGTATCAGGGTCTAATGTTGATGCTGAAGTAGCTAGGATCCGGTCTCGAGATTTTCAGATGAGCTATAGTACCACACAAGGACCAGTGTTGAGCGGATGACCCAAAGTTTGTAGACCAGAAGCTTTTCGTGGCCTGTGTTGGGGCATTTTCAGCTTTTAGAGTATGGTGCTCAAGGGAAACAACATCGCATAGGTGATATAAATCATCAGAAAGGCTCGTAAGATGTTTGTCTGACCAAGCGTCGGGAAAAGGAATTCGGAGACTGCCGTATCGTACACTGAACATAGATGGTGCGTGCACAGCCTTAAAACTCCATCTCTCCTCAACGAACAACGCTAAGTTCGGTATACTTCGACATGCTGCGACAGCCATCATTACAATTGTCCATACAGCTGGGATCCTTGAATTTCTTATCTCTCATGGTGTATGGTCACAGCGCGAGACCTGGACGTGAGTTCCAATGTCGTCGTTCTCTGCGCTTCAAGTGGCTTACCTCGTGTATACTCTAACGTAATGGTTTTGAGTTCATACTCCAAGGCTGTGGATACTACTATTCGTGAGGTTTATGGTGGACATATAATCTCGGTGAGTGTGATTGTTTCTCCCAAATTGGTGTTTGTCGTCGGATGCATACAGAGTCCTTGTCATGTAGTCGCCACGGTTTACGTATTTTCGACCGCGGTTGTATCGGGAACATGATCTTCGTGGACATACAAAAGAAGGCGGAAATAAGGTGAAACGGATAGTCATCATCGGACCAGTAGCAGAAGCTACATACATACATTGTCAAATACCCTCCCCGAGGAAATCTTCCATCAGCCTGACAGTCACTTGCGATTACGGCCGAAAAATATCTCTCCTTTTCATTCTCGGGAGACATAGGCTCATGGCACACATTGTTGATGGCGTATGTGGGTCAAACTTATTCATCAACATTTACCGGTAGAATCATTAGTGAATGGCGCAAAGACCCTTACGTGGGTTGTCTCCTGCCTAACAATGTGATCGGCACTCATACCGACGCTCATTCCTATGATTCCATTGCAAGCGGCTGATCGTCTCACCAGACATAGCCTCGAAACTTCTGGACACATGAAACTTTGGTCTGAGCTCATTGCCAGTGTGCCGCCGACATCCTTGTATCACGAAAGAAGATACAGGTGCATGTTTAGCTATCGCTACTGCCGAGAAACCGGAGTTGACCTCGGGGCGCATTTGGCAGGCATTGGTGCCTTGTTTCGGACACCTCCAGACTCTTCCCCACAGGAGCGATCAGGCCGCCGCCATGGGAACATTTTTACGTTCATTAAACAAGCGAGGGTAAAGTTTTAAGTTTAACCTTGTGGCAGGACCGAGAACGCCAGACTCCAAGAAGTTACCTCGGAGAAATTGCGATTCTGTCCTGACCTAAAGACTTTATTGTGAGGTCTTTTGAGCGCCCGGAGAAGTACAAGAAGCATCGGGAAACCAAACAAATAAATTTTTAGAACATGCATATTGAACCACCACTGTCCCTTCCTCATTTGTATGCGCACCGCAAAGGCGTTTTATTATTTGCTGGGATCAGAGTCCCAGGCGGGACAAAATGACCTCGTAATCGATGTCAGCAGACAGATTGGCGCCTCCCCGAAACGGATTGCGGTTTCTCGGACTGTATAAAACAACAAGGCTATTATTATCGGGATATCGAATTCAGGCGGAGAAGACAGATGGGTTAACGAGTGTGAGATAGTTGAGAGGATGGTATCGTGAAATGATATGCGAAGCGGGGTATAAGGGTATCAAGGAAAGCTTGTATGAGATGAGCAGATTATTGAGACAAGTTAACAAACGAATGTGAGATCCTTGAGAAGACAGCATCGTGGGTGGTATACGAAGGAGGGGTATCGTTGAAAGGTCGTAATGCATCAGTAGATTAACAAATGGATACTCTGACAATGATAAGAAGGGTATGAACGAGACGTGTAAACGTACATTGTGTCGATGATGAAGGAGAAACGAGGCACTCGGACAAGGATATTGGAACACCTTTCACAGTCGACAAAGTCAGCTCTTCGAGCTCAGATGTTACACCTCCCTCCATGTCGTGTCGGTGATGGAATAGTAGTCAACCTTCGGCGAGCCGTTGATGACACACACAACTGTGCGCTCAAAGTCGTTCACGAAGATGACGCGTTGTATAGAGGGGCAGTACAGCCGCATCTCGCCTGCAAGGGCGCACACACCGGCTGGCACCGATGGGCTTGGCTCCCATTCGGTGACGTCGACCTCAACCGTATGTAGGAATGCTAGTCGGCGGAGCTTCCCGTAGAACTGCAACCTCTGCGTGGAGACAATAACGATGAGCGCAAAGAGTTGCCCAATATGCAACGGACCATACCTCTGGGCCATCGATAGGCAGGACAAGCGTGCCGAGATAGCGGAGATTGTACATCGCCCTCGTCAGGCTGACCACAGCTGAGAGAAGCTCCAGCGAAAAGATTTCGCAGTACGACGAATCGGCGATGTCGAGAGCGACGAGTACGCCCGTCGACAGCGAAATCTTATTGATGAGGTTTGCCATTTCCGCGCGTTTCTTCTGCACGTCGGCGTTCGAGAAGCACGTCTTGAGTCGGGATATAGGTCTTCCGGGGAGCAGCGCGCAGGCCGCCTCGCTGAATGTGCATTCGAGCACAGAGAGGGCGGGCAGAGCGCCGGGAGATAGAGATACCCCATCTGCGTCGCCCTCGGAGTAGTCGGAGATATAGAGATCGGCGAGCTCCATCTGGCCGTTGAGAAACTCGACGAGGTGCGCGTCCCACCGGAGATCGCAGTGAAACGTGCGAAGGCTGAAGGACGCGTCGTCGAGGATCCAAGCGCTGGGCACATCACCAGCGCAGTCAAGGTTGAAGAATCGCAATCGGGTCGTATTATGCAACGCCTGCGCGACAGCCGCCCAGAGCTCCTCTGGCACGTCCTCGGCCATCGTAGGGCCGTCGCCACCAAGGCTGATTGTGAGCGCTTCAACGTGCGCCGCAATGCGAGGCTGCCTCGCGAACAGCGCACATCTCTCTGCGGTGTCGCTGACGTTGTGGGCGTAAATGGTATTGTACAGGGAACGTTCTGCGGCCATCCGGAACCGCCGAGATACGCGACAGAGGGCGCAGATGTCGGAGCGGGTGCCAACGTACGTGACGATGAGACGATATGTCTCGAGCGAGAGTTCCATTAAATTAGGGTCATAGCCTGGCAAGTACATGCGTCAGAGACACCCATGTATGGCTATGGTGATGAAAGTCACGAGATGCTTACGGGGTATAGTGTTCAGAGCGGCAGGTGAAGATAAAGGAGATAAAGGAACACGAGGGAGTGACTTGTGAAAATACAAGTGAGTAAAACGCGGGGCAGCCTCGTTCACCGTTATCAACGACATACCTCCAACCTTTACGAAAGCGCGAGCAGGGGGTTGAGACACAGAGCTAGATTATGGGCTCCTCCCGTGCTCACCGTGCGCTATTTAAGTAAGCGCGCTCACAGCTTTGTCATGACCCTTGTACCTGCCCATACAGGCAGATCTTCAAAACACGGCACTGGGACGGCAAGCCATGCATGGCAAATGGAGCCCGGAAACTCCCCCGGGAACCGCCAAACGGGACCAGACGGCTGGCGCGTTGGCTCTCTGGTCTTGCGACGATGGGACAGGCACGATTGCCCCGATGCGGCGCAAGCACTGGGTAAACGTGTGTCTACGTGTGTGTGAGCTTCTTGTTGCGGGTTGCGTCAGTGGGCTGATCGCTTCCTCGCTCCCGTTACTCGCGGTCTCTGCAGGGATTCCCCGGTGGGCCCCGCAGGAACTTGGAACCTTTTTTTTTAACGATCGTCGAACATGGCACAGGCTCCGGGTTCCCGGTCGAGCGGAGTGGTTTCGCACATATCGGTGCGCCTGTCCCCCAGTGACTCCTGTCTCGTCGGTGGGAAAGGGCACGCGATGCTCATGTGGCACTCGCGTGTGCTACGCAGTGGGAAAGCTGAGAAAAAGTTGATTTTGTATCGCGATCGTCGATAAACTTGGCAGAGGCCGCACACAAACTGGCTCATTCAACTTCCTGCACAAGGAAATGTTTCAATTAGTCATTTGACATCTTGGAATTTGATAGCAGCTTTAACCTACCGGGAAAGACCCGCCGCCCTGTGCGCGAACGTGCTGGCAGCCCTGCATCATCATGCAAATCTTGAGGCTGCTCCATCTTACGCCTTCGCAGCATCTGGTCGAAGACGGTTGGCCGCCGATGCCACGTCCGGCGAGTGCACACGGGCGCAGGCTTATTCTTACGCACATTGAATTGGAGAAGCTGATGGCCTTCGGCGTGAACACCACCGCTCGCGCGACTGACGAGCGACGATTGGGCCGATGAAGATGAATGATGTAACCATGCGTAGTTTTTGGCAGAGTCGCTGCCAGAGATGCCGGTGAGTCCGGTGCGGTGGGCCACCTCAGCGTGTCCAATGTGTGGACTGAGAGATTGATCCAGAGATTTCGCCGGGGCCTCCTGACCAGGGTTCGCGCCGGTACATACTGCATTAGCCAGTTCTTTTGTTTTGAGCGCGTACGATGACGCAGGGCTGACATGCCGACGAGGAGCAGAAATGCCGGGGGAAGTTTCCGGAGACAGAAGGTGCCACAGATCAGTGAGGCGTCGCACTTCGCGACGGAGGTAAATTTGACGAGGAGGTACTGCTGCCGAGATCTAAGGGGTGCACGCCAACCTATCTGTCAAAATGAGCGCTGGGTGCTGACGGGAGTGGGATTAACGAAAGAGTCTCCAACACGACGCACACCGTGCGACGGCAGCTGCGGTCCCTGCCAAGGTCTCAGTCGTCATAGACAAGTACTGAATAACTGACGAGTTCATACAGTCAGCAATTCAGCTCAACAGGACTGAAGATACGGTAGAAAGGTGTACCATCTGTTCAATGGTTAATCCACACCTCCATAAAAGAGAAACCATCACACGCATACGCCGTACCAGCTGACCGAAGCTAGGTACGTGCTGATGATTTTCATGGGGATTTTCAAGCCGCAAGATTTTTTTCTCTTTTCATCAACATTGGTAGTGATCGCGCGTCGGCGCGCGGGCGCCTCAAGCGAGGGCGTTAAAGCTCCTGAGCCCGAGACGACGCGTCCGAGACCGCCGGCCAGTGCGCAGCGGTCCCGTGCAGGGAACTAAATTCATCCGGCGCGCCCTCTGACTTGCGTCTGACAAACATAGCGAATACGATTGAATGGCGCTTGTAAGGCAATCTCGTTCATGAAACATATATACACATACTCACACATCACTGCAGCATTCCCATGTGATTTTTTTCATCGCCTTCGGGACAATCTTGTTCAGAGCTGAACACCATTCAGTCAGGCAGAAATGGGATAGGCCGATAGAATCGTCCGATCGCTAGCATGTTCATGTCGATGAGATTTAACCGTCCGATGTGCGTAGATACACGAGAGTCTCGTTTGTATTCAATACCAGAGACAAAACGATGGCCAAGCAAATCAAGAAGCAATCGCCCCGACCGGGGTGGCTTAATCCACGGCAGAGCGGCGGTGTCTGACGATCCACCTTGGAAGGGCCGAAAGGATCGGTGTGAATCGTCTGCAGGAGTCGTATAAGCTATCGTTCCAAGCCGACGGTTCGGGGCGGCGATTGGGGGCTGGGGAATAGACTCACCAGAACCATCAAACCAGTCCAATGGATCCCTACAATCCGTCGCAGCTCTTTACTCCAACTTCTCCAGCTCGTCCAACCGTGACAATACAACCTCCTTGCTCGTCTCCTCTATCTCTCCCGCGAGGAAGATCTCGTCCAGAATCGCGTATACCTTAATATGATCCGAGCGTAGTCAGCGATGCATTAGTCTTTGATGAGATGGTGTCTTACCTTGTAGAAGTTGAATACGAGGTCGAGCTCGCAAACGTTGTCAAAGAAGGAGTCTAGACCAATGTGAAACCCAAGCTTAGTCAGCGTGACGTGAAGGAAAGATGTGGACGAAGTCGAGGACGATGATGAAGCGGTGAAGTATGAGGGAAGGTTGGACGAAAGCCCATGGGGAGCAGAAGAAAGGCTGAAAGAAGGAAAGCTCAAAGGCGGGGGCGGGGACGAAGGCTCGAAACAGAGACAAAGACAGCCGTACGAAGGATTGAAGAGGAAAGAGGGGTTTATGAGATGAGAGACTCACCCAGAATCTCGACGAAAAGGTGGATAGCCTCAAGATAGGCAAGCTCGTTGTCGTTCGCGTCGACGCACACGCAGAAGAACAGGCCAGCGTACCGCCTATAGACGATCTTGTGGTGCCGGAACTGTTCGACCCGCGTTAGCAGACTACAACGGAGAATGGAGGGCGGAAGAAGGCCATTGCATGGGCGACAACGCAGAGCAGACGCACCTCGACAAAGTTAGACTGATACTTCTGATCCCTCGGCGCAACTAACCGGTGCACCTCTCCCCGCATCCGCACCTGCATAAAGCCCACGCACCCAGATCAGCGTCACCTCAACAGCCCCAGCGCGCGCCCAAGTAGCGAGAAAGGCCACCCCGAGGAAGCGGAGGGGAAGGGGAAGGGGAGACAAGCGCACCTTCTCGTCGTCATCGTACGGCACATACCACTTCGACAGCCGCGTCTTGCCCTGCCTATTCTACAAGGTCGAACGACCATCGCCATTCACATCAACGAGATGAACAACAAGCGGCAGGGAGAGATACGACAGACCTGGACGAGTATAAACCTGATCATAGTCGACGTGCCGGGGCACCGTGACTGATGCTGAACTGCGCCGGACAAACCCCAGCGCGGGGGCAATACCGGATAGGGGCTGACCTTACTCAGATTCGGACAAGTTTTGGAAAAACCAGAAGATATATAACGAGAAACCATAAAGTCATGCAGAAATATGATATACCCCAATTTCCCTCGACCCTCTAGAGTAGAGTATAGGGAAAAGACCTGATGTACCACTCAAAAGCACTACACACAGTACCGTATTACGAGGTCGAGCAAAAAGTCTACTGCTGCGACATCTGCGCCAAATAATCGGAGAGCTGTACCCACATATCAAATCAGCACCACAAGACAAGAACCAGCGACAAGAAAAACCACAACCAACCTTGAGCGCCCCAGACCGTATACTCTCCCCCAGATTCTGCACATCCGGGTTCGCCATCAGCCGCGCGTACGCATCGCGCGCGGCGACCTCGAGGTGCGCGAGGTTCCCGTCCCCGAGCAGCCCGCCGTCCGCGAGCGCGCGCTCGAGCTCCTCCTCCTCCTCGCTCCGCCCAAAGTACTGGCTCGACGAGATCGACGTCGCGCCCTGGAAGTTCTGCAGCCGCGTCTGCGCCTCCGAGACGGACGCGGCGTCGTAGTCGTTCCGCCCGAAGTACATGTCTGACGAGATCGCTTTTTGGTTCCCGAATTTGTCGCGCGCGGTCGTGGGCGCGTTGTCGTTCGCGGGGCTGTTGCGTGGGTGCCGATCAGATACCCTTGAGAGAGAGAAAGATGAAGGTAGGGGAGACTTACCTTGACCGCGAAGAAGTCACCGGCGACGCAGCAGCAGGCATACCCCCGAACCCAAGCTTCCGGAACCCCATACCGAGCCTCTCCAGATCCTGACTGTTCCCCTTCTGTACATCCACCTTCCCGGGCACCGCCCTGCCCGCCGATGCCGCAGCAGCGGACGAAGACGAAAACGACTTGGCCTTCTCCGCCAGCGCAGCCTTGTCCGCCTCCTTGCGCTGGCGCTCCTCCGCCTCCTCGCGCTCGCGGTCGTACCCCAGCTGCTTTATCCGCTCCGCCTCCTCCGCCGCCTTCCGCTCCGCCTCCGCAAAGTCGATCGGCGCGACCGCCTTCTTCGCGCCCAGCCCGCCCAGCTTCGACTTCTTCGCCGCCGCCGACGCACCGAGCGCCGAGGTCGTCGACGTGGAGCGCGTGGCGCCGAGCTTGGGGACGCTGCCAGAGGAGGAGGTGGGGGAGACGACGGTGCGCGGTTTGGCGGGGACGACGGTGCGCGGGGGCTTGCCGATGGCGGGAGGGGAGGTGGCGGGTGAGGATTTGGCGGGGGCGGCTTTTGCAGCGGCGGGTTTGTCCCAGGACGAGAAGAAGTCCTCTTCTTCTTGGATGCCAGAGGAGGCAGGTGTGGCGGAGGCGGAAGCGTCCATGCCTTCGACGAAGACGCGGGCGGGGAATCTGTGATGAGCGGGGCACTGGTGTCAGAAAACATGCGAACCGTGGAAGGTGAAGGATGCTGGAGAGCTCACCTGGAGACGTCCTCCTTCACGCGCTTGGCGAGCTCCTCTCTGTAGAGCTCAGCGGCTTTGCTGGAGTACTTCTTCTTCGTGTCCGAGTCGCTGAGGAGAGACGAGCCGCCGTGGCGGGAGAAAAACTCGGTCGCAGAGGCGTTCCCGCCGACCTTCATCGTGCGCAGCTGGTTGAGTTGCCAGCTGTCCAGATTGGTCGATCTACAGGAGCACAACGAGTTGTAAGTACGAGCAGTCCGTACGAAGGGGCTGTTTGCTTGTGATAAGTGGCATACCGGACGAAACTGATGTGCACGCCCATGTTGCGATGGACACTGGAGCAGTCGAGGCAGATGTAGATGCCGTACGTTACACTCGACCACGTCGGGTTGCGAGCCTGACAATCGAAGCACATCTGCATAACACCACCCGTAAGAAAAATTGTCAGCGCCTGCCCATCCGCGCACAGCGCACCAATGAGACAGACGCACCTTGTTCGCCTTCTGGGCCCTGAGGACCTTGAAGACGGCATCCGTCTCTGCCTTTGTGGGATCTGCCATTGCTGTCAATGTCTACAGGCGGAAACGAGAGGGGTGGAAAGAGAGATGGAGGTGAACGTGGCAGACGGCGTAAGAGATTGTTGGGCAACGCGGAATGAGACGTGTAGCCCTCAGATAGGCCCTCCGGGGTCCCACTCCCGACCCGCACGGCAGTGTCCGGAGGCAATGGCATCGCAACCACTCGACCGTCGTGTTGCATGATCACCACCATGACTCTCGAGCTCAGCATTCTTCATCAGCGCTCTCCATTTCTTCTTGAGACATTCTCTCATAAGAAAACAACATTTGGATTGATTATATGCGCCTCTATTATGTGCAACTTAACGACTAACGCTGGACCTGGCTTCAATCATGCATTGCTACCTCTGGAATTACGAACAGGATGGTTGTGATGTCTTAGGATGCCGTGACTCTCTTTACCAGCCAGAATCACTGGATCGTAGAGTTCTTGGTTAGCACTCACTCCCGCCCTCCACGATCTGCCGTCATCACTCCCGACTTATTCGACGCCCCAACTTCAGCTCATTCCGAATTGGTTGGCACGTTCAACGTTCAGCACTTGACTTTGGTCCTTCAGACATGCATCTTTGGTCTTATTGGCCACATCCCTACGCGGATGCGTTGCCGCTCTGGTCTAAGTCTTATCAACCCCAGCTTTGCATATGGCGCAGGTACGATCCGATCCTAATCTGTGACTGGAAGTACTCTTTCTTAACAAGGACTGGGATTTGGGGGGGAAGCTCGTCGCTTTGCTTGCAGCCCGATGGTCAGATCCACAAAAGTCATGTGATGTTATGATGTTAGTGAGATCCGAGCCCGGTATCGGCGCTGTGGCTGATGTCTCCTATCCTTTATCTGTCGTGTCGGCGGGGCTTCCGAGTGGTGTCAACCACCATGTCTTTTGTCAACGACGTGCCTGTCGCTGTCCGTTGTTGCGTTGAAGCTCTTCAGAGCTTAGTTCGTTTCGGTGGTCCTGTTGCGCGCGGTTTGGCTGATGGTGCATATATTGGTGCGGTCGTTTACCATGACGGTTTTACTGTTGCAAACTGAGAAAGCAAGGCCGGACATAGATTAGCATACGAATCATTCTCCATAGTGCTTCACAAATAAATGGACAATTTGCCAATCTCCGAAGGACAGGTAACGGGCTTTGCCGTGCTACACTCGCGCGGCCTTATGTCTCTTGTTCTACGTCTCTAGCCGTCCTGAGGACCTTTCGGGGCATGAATTTGGCAGATGGTGGCAGTCACGTTTACGCCTTGCAAACGGGGTCTCCACACTAGAGTAACTTTTTCTAGTCTTGCAGCAAAGAACGCGGAACGTATGCACGGTTTCTTTCGCCGAGGCTAACAACACTGACCTTACGAATCTTTGACCAGATGTTTCCGCTGATGCTCGAAGACTTTCGCTGCATACAGGGGCTATGCACGTGCCCAGCGGACCGGTCCCCGCAGACACGAGACCATCCCGGTATCGAGCTTCCTGCAAATCACCGCACAGTACCGAGCGCCGCACATCTCGTACAGGCTATATAACTTACGTCCACATCGACGCTTTATTGAAGGTGGAGTAAACTCAGGTAGCCGGCGTAATGACCGCCGCAGACAGAAGCTAACTATACTCGATAGAAAAATTACACACCCGTTCGCTCCTTGGATCCCAGGACTGGGCAAGATGGTTGTAGCGCTCCAGCACACGACGGAAGAACATCGTGACCCCACACTTACTTATAGCTCAACCTTACCACACACGTAACTCATATAAGCCCCTGTGCTCCACCACGCCCACCCGCTAACTCACCGACGCTGACACCCACCTTCATGTACACTACATCGTCCCTGTTCCTGCGCACGCTCGCCCAGGTGGGCATCACGCATGCGTTCGTCAACTGGGGCTCGGACCACCCCGCGCTTCTCGAGGACCTCGAGCGGCAGCGCGTCGAAGACGGGAAGACTGCACTCGAGATTATAACGTGCCCCAATGAGATGGTCGCGCTGAGCGCCGCTCAGGGGTATGCGCAGGTCACTGGCAAGCCTGCTGCGGTTATCGTCCACGTCGAGGTTGGAACTCAAGTACGCCTCTTCTTTGTCTTCTCCACTCTGCTATACATCCCCCGTGGCTGACTACAATCGCAGGCCCTCGCAGGCGCGATCCACAACGTCGACGTTGGGCGTGTGCCCGTGCTGATATACGCCGGCTCGTCCCCGTTCACGTACGAGGGAGAGCTCAAGGGCTCCCGGAACGAGTGGATCATGTGGTTGCAGGACTTTCCTGACCAGGCCCACGCTGTGCGGCAGCACGTCCGGCATGTCGCACAGATTGACTCGCCTGTGAACCTCACGCAGACCGTGCGCCGCGCACTGCAGATGTACGTCAGCATCGCTCGCAGCTTCTCCAGCTCCTGGAAAATTCGTGGTAACTTTGGTTTTGTGTTTGCTATAGCGCGACGTCCGAGCCGAAGGGCCCGGTTTACCTTTGGGCACGCAGAGAGGTGATGGAACAGGACATAGACGAGGCGCTCATGCGCGCGCCGATCTCGATGCTCAAGTGGCCCGCTATATGTCCTGCTGCTCTTTCCCCGCAAAGTACGCCCTAGCTTCTGAACGTGCAGAATACCTCATAAGAATCTAACTTTACCTTCTAAAGTCGTATCCGCAATAACCTCCGCCCTCCTCGCCTCCACCCAGCCCCTCATCCTCACCTCCAACATCGGCCGCAGCTCCGCCGCAATCAAGCCCCTCCTCGCGCTCAGCGCGCACCTCGCGATCCCCATCATCTCGACCGTACCCTCGACCACAAACTGCCCGCACTCGCACCCGTACTTCCTCGGGACGACCTACCTCGCAGCGGGGACACACCACGCGGTCCTGCAGCGCGCGGACGTGATCCTCATCGTGGACACGGAGGTGCCGTGGATCCCGGGGAACCGCGATGCACAGGGCAACTTCGAGAAGCCGAGCGAGAGCGCGCGTATTTTTGTGCTGGATGGCGGGGACCCGCTGAAGAGCCGTGTCGGGATGTGGCATGTCGATGCGGAGGCTGTGGCGCTTGCGGATGCGGGGGTTGCGCTGGGGCAGATTGAGCAAGCTGTGCGAGCGGGCGCGGAAGGCGTTCTTGATGAGGCGAGGGTGAAGGAGATGGCGGGGGAAATGGAGAAGCTGCATGAGGAGTGGATCGCGGGGATGGATAAGGCGGAGGGGTTTGGGGTGGTGGTGCCTCTTCCGCTGACGAGGGTGCAGAAGGGAGAGCAGCCACCGTCGCCTCCCATTTCCCCAATTTCGCCCGTGTCGAAGCGTCGCAAGGTTTCCTTCTCGAGGAAGAGCGACGACATGGATACGGCCACCGATGATACTCGGTCTGACTCTCCTTCCACGCTGGGCGAAGATGCGCCCCAGAGTATACTGATGGGACCAACGAGACCAGTGAAGAACTTCACGACTCCTCAAATTGTCGCCTCTCTCCGCCGCGCGATCAACGAGCTCGTTCCACCGAGTGGCGCGCTCGTCCTGAACGAGACAGTCACAAAGTACCCGCTGATTTGGGAACACACCCGCGCAGAAGGGCGCATCGCCTCCAACCTGAAATCGTCAGCGTCAGCCGACGCGGGCAAGAGCATAGGCGGCGTCATCACCTCGCGCGGATCGTCGCTCGGCTGGGCAATCGGCGCCAGCGTGGGCACGATACTCGGCAGCCGCGTCACAGATGCACAGGACAGCATAGGCGATCTCGAGAGGCGGAGAGGCTTCGACTTCGCGGCTGCCGTCGTAGGCGACGGGTGCTTCATGTTCGGCGTGCCGTCGACGGTGTTTTGGATGGCCCGCAAGTACAATGCTGTAAGCCGCCGTCCGATCTCTGCGTCCCGTGCACGGATCTAATCGATGTGTGTTTTGTTGCTAGCCGTTTCTTACGGTTATCTTGAACAACTCTGGCTGGGGCGCACCGATGGGCTCGATGCTCGGCGTGTATCCACACGGGCTCGGGTCGGCCGCAGGAGGCCAGAAGCTGAGCGTCGGGTTCGGGCCGAACGTCCCTGACCACTCGGGCGTCGCCGTCGCCGCGAGTGCTGGCTGGGCATGGGGACGGCGGGTGAGTGCTCATGGTATCGAGCAGGGCGGTGTAAGGGTGCAGGAGGACGAGACAAACGGCCGGAGCCCAAAAGAAGTTCTGGACATGGTCATTCGAGAGGCGGTGCGAGTGGTGCTGGAGGAGCGGCGGTGTGCAGTCGTGGATTGCGTTTTGGACGCTATATGAACGTAACGTTGACATATTTTGTTTTCATTTCCATGCGTCAAAGATAATCCTGGTGTTTTTTTTTGGCTCGTGACAGGACACCTTCATAAATCTGAGACCGTCCGCAATGGCCAACGTGAGAGAAACGTGTGCCTAAAGCCTCCAAATCCGTATGAACTTCGACTCTTGCGGTGCCTTGCTTTGCGCCTCCATCTCGCGACTATCGTAGTCCTAACACCGCCTTCTCCTTCCAAGGCCAAACGCTTCCCTGATTCTGTCAGGGTCAACGCTCATAAGCGACATTCACGCAAACACATGGGGGCTGCCTATCGCCGACCATGCGGCTAAGGTAAAAGGAGTTGAAACATCCAGTTCAAGAGGGTTCGGCCCTAAAGAGCTGGAGAATCCGAGTCATTCTTCTCCCGCACGCTGTGATTGTCGCTGACCGATAATAGCCAAAGAAGCTCAAAAGGCAAGACTCAAACTCCAAACCGTGCGCCTATATATCGCTGATCCGCGTATATAGCCAGTTTATCGAGACACCGACGTCAAATGACACGACCATGCAGCGCTTATAAGCTGTCAGTGCGGCAAATACTTGAAGTGCGTATCTCGCAGGGCAACGTAATTCTACCAGCGAACGTGCACAGCATGTCATCCAGGATTGATCCCCGTCGCTTCTCCAATACACGCCTTTTGGTTAGTCCTAGTAGGTGTTATTTAACCCAGGACATGATCATCCTGGACGAGGGTTGGTACTTCACGCCCACCTCTTCTGAATCATCGTCGGGAAATGTTCACGACGTCCTCACTCTTCCTTCATACACTCGCCCAGGTTGGCATCACCCACGCATTTGTGAACTGGGGATCAGACCATCCCGCTCTACTCGAGGACTTGGAGAGGCAGCGCGTTCAGTACGGGAGGACGAGGCTCGAAATTATCATATGTCCGAACGAGATGGTCGCGCTGAGCGCAGCGCAGGGGTACGCGCAGGTGACGGGGAAGCCAGCTGCTGTTATCGTGCACGTTGGGATTGGGACACAGGTGCGTTTTTCTCGACTCAAATGTCCATCACCTAGTGTAATCTTACATCCAACTTTGTGGAAACGCCCCACAGGCTCTTGCAGGCGCGCTTCACAACGTCGATGTTGGTCGAACGCCTGTTCTCATCTACGCTGGTGCCTCGCCGTTCACCTGCGAAGGCGAGCTCAAGGGCTCACGTAACGAGTGGATTATGTGGATGCAAGATATTCCGGATCAAACTCAAGCAGTGCGCCAACACATGCGGTATACGGCTCAAATCGAGTCGCCCGTTAACCTCACGCAGGTGGTTCGGCGAGCGCTGCAAATGTACGTCATTCGCTGGTTGGTCGTCTTCTCTCTCTTATGCTGCCCATAGAGCGACGTCAGAGCCACAGGGACCTGTGTACCTCTGGGCGAGAAGAGAGGTCATGGAACAGGAGATCGACGAGTCACTCATGAAAGCCCCCATCACAATGTACAAATGGCCAGCAATATGCCCTGCTGGTCTTTCACCTGTCGGTAAGCAGGTCTGTTCCAACAGGCCCGGAAATCTCACACCGAACGATGCTCACGTAGCTTTCATGCTTCAGCCGTCTCCACCATCGCCTCTGCGCTCCTCACAGCCCACCGTCCACTCATCTTGACGTCGCACATCGGGAGAATGCCCTCGGCTATCTCACCTTTGTTGGCGCTCAGCACGCTCCTCGCGGTGCCAATTGTATCTGTCACACCATCGACGACGAACTGTCCCCACTCATTTCCTTACTTCCTTGGAACGACGATTCTCACGCCGGGCACGCACACGCCGCTCTTGCGGACTGCGGATGTCGTCCTCGCCATCGAAGTCGGAATGCCGTGGATACCAATGAACCGCGACTCTGCAGGGAACTTCGAAAGGCCAAGTGAAGACGCCAGGGTGTTCGTGCTCGATGGTGGGGACCCGCTCAAGGGTGGCATCGGAATGTGGCACGTCGATGCGGAGCTTGTGGCGCGCGCCGATTCGGAGGTGGCGCTGACGCAGCTTCTGCAGGCGACGAAGTTCACGAACGAGAAAAACGGAGCGCTTACCAATGAGACCGTCAGAGAGCGGTCTCAGGAGATCACGAGGCTGCACGACGAGTGGATCGCAAGGATGGACGCGGCGGAGGCGTTCGAGTCTGTTCCGAGGCCTCTGTCGCCTGATACAGAGCCATTACTGTCGTCTTTCACAGCGTCGCAGATCATCGCTTCCCTCCGCCGCGCGATCGAAGCGAGCGTGCCTCGCGGGGGAGCGCTGATTCTCAACGAGTCTGTCACCAACTTTGCACAGACATGGGGGCACACTCGCGCCGAGGGACGGTTCTCGTTCGACGACGACTGGAAGAAGCCATGTGCATCTTCGGAAGCATTGTCAGGCGCCAGCATCGGGTCCGTCATCACCTCGGGGGGCTCGTCGCTGGGATGGGGAATCGGAGCTGGCGTCGGGTCTATCCTCGGCAGCCGCGTCGTTGATGCCGCCACTGCGACATGCACCGACACCCCTCCTCCCACTCCAGGCACCGGCGTTGGTACGCGACAAGGCGGGTACGACTTCGTCGCTGCCGTCGTTGGCGACGGGTCTTACATGTTCGGTGTTCCGTCATCCACGTACTGGATGGCGCGAAAATACGACACTGTATGTTTCTCGTCACCCACTTCTCTTTTTTACCTACTAAACACATGAACAGCCGTTCCTCACCCTCATCCTAAACAACTCGGGATGGTCCGCCCCGAAAGCGTCTCTCCGCGGTGTCTACCCAAATGGATACGGAAGCCACGCCCCCGGCGAAGTGCTCTCCGTAGGCTTTGGACCGCACGTTCCCGACCACGCAGGCGTTGCTGTCGCCGCGAGCGCTGGGTGGGTGTGGGGAAGGCACGTTAGCGCGCGTGGCGTCAGGAATCCCGGAGTCTATAAGGAGGTTCAAGTGGACGGGGTCGAAGAGACGCGCTGCCTTAATCCAGCGGAGCTGTTGGACGAGGTGATGCGGGAGGCGGTCAGAGTTGTGTTCGTGGAGCGGAGGTGTGCGGTCTTGGACTGCGTCCTGGAGAGTATATAGGGTGATTGCTGATTTCGGCTTTCATGAACGGTGCGCTACTTTTAACGACACTTCAAATTTGGCTTCTCTTTTTACCATAGTGTACTGCGTATAATACAGCAGTGTATATTATTATGTAGTTCGTAATGGATGGATAATGCAGGCAAATCTTACATCGGTGGAACCCTCTGTTGAATCATTCGCACGTCAATTGGTATCTAATCGTATCTTCAAACTTATGACACGAACGGTGTGGTTGTGTTTGGTTGCGGCTCCTGTCGGCCCGCACGTTGCCCGCTTTTGAATGTCCCCTGTTTTCAGAATGTAGGTCGGTAGTGGTTCTATACTTCAACGCGAGTCCCTTTGTGGCGCTGCTGCTGCGTACGCGTTGAACCTTTTATTTTGAACAAGGCCAACACCTTCGTTCCACTCCGGATTGTTTACACTATGGTTCCTGTAGTTGATACTGGGATGGATTGAATGATTACTTGTGCTACTTCCAGTGTATACCACTTCTCGCGCTCGAACACCCAAGAGTGACGATAGGCCGAGACATGACAGACGGCTGTAGTACTGTCGGAAATCTCCTTTTTGCATCGCAACGGCGACTTTACCATTTGGGCCATTGGGGTCATTGTAACACGTTTTATTCCCGCTAATTCCGTTGCACTGTCGGCAACGTTGGCCATAATCCCGTCGCAAACCCATTACAGTGTATTAAAATGGTCATTGCGACGAGCATTGCAACGGCAACTTTGTCATTATAACGGCCTGAATTCATTTTGGCCATGTTGGGCATCGCAACGCGTCACAATGCCAAAAAGAAGTTTCCGACAACAGTCGAGATAAATGTCAAATGATCAAAACGACTGAGAATTGATTACAATTAAAGTGCGTAGGATACCAACTAAGAGGTCAGATAAGGTTGAAAGGGACAATATAAGAAAATAAGGGTTGCTTTGCAATAGATAGCTGTACAAACTTTCCCTGGTTTTGTCACTGTAGTATGAGTAGGATGTGATACCCCAACTTAAACGATTAAACCTTGTTTACTAGTAAAGCGCGAATGTGAAATAAGAGCTTTACGGGTACCGAAAGTCCAGGACAGATTACTACTAGAATTTCGGGGCAAAGCACCAAGTACTAACTTATGCCAAGTGTGCCACGGAACGGGGCCGCGATGAAATTGCTAAAATCGGCAAACCAAGTGACAGCACCATAGCTTGAGCTTTAATGTTGCCCGCGATCCACTATTGACTATTTATGGGCAATGTATAGCAAAAATGGAGGTGATATGGAATGGAAAATCTAGATACTTTGGTGTAGCTATTCCTACTAATGCATATCTAGCACATTTAACTTAGAATGACACGCCAGGAAACACCAAATTTGGATAAAGCTCTCTGAAAATCCAGTGCAAAATGCAATGGAGAGCGCCACGGTATTTGTTTCGGACTGGAGCTTCACGGCAATGCAATAGGCAAATAGCAGTAAATTAAAAAGGGTCACACTTTTAATGATACAGTGGATACGGTGGATGGATGCTGGATAAATAATATTGGATGTCCTGGTATTCCTACTTATGCACTATTGTAAATTGGGGACGGAATCGGGAGTTGAACTCAGAGGTTACGATAGCGCTCCACTTGGAGTTTAGGTCACAGCACCACTGACTCATGCAGTATGTCCTACAAAACTTCCTGGTAGTGTAACCATCAAATGACAAACGAAGCGAGAGCTCTATAAGGGTAGCATTGTGTCTGTGCATAGACGGCTGCATGTCCATCGCATGTTTGCCTCGAGGTTTGCTTTCGAAGATTGAAATACTCGCAATTTTGTAGTTGCTCCCTAGCAATCGATTGGCGCGAGGTTCTCCCTTGATCCCCTTTGAACTTGTATGAGCACATGTCGTAGCCCTCACCGGCTTTGATACTTACAACTCTGTAGCTTGAGGCTATCTACAATATTAATGCATGTGTACTGACTATATGTGAGCAATGTACATTCCCCGCTCACACTGGAAGGCTCAAATAACATACAATGAATTTGATTGGTATAAAATGGGAAGTCTAGACGTCTTGGAGGGTAGTAATACCTGATAATGCTTGTTTGAAACATGCAACTCAGCAGGAACAGCATTGAAATGCTGAAGCTGACAACAAATGGCACATGTATTGACATGACACATGCAAGATATCTCTGAATCTTTGGGCAAGAAAAAAAAACGGGGAGCAAGCCAACAGCGCGTTCTACGCATCCTGGAAATGTCCTGAAGAGACAGATAGGAATATCTGGAACACTTACTCCTTGGGTACGAGAGCAATTTAGGATGTCTCAGGTATGGTAGCACAATGCAGGTTAGAGGACAGCCTGAGCTATAAAATCTACAGTATTCGTTCATTAAGCTTGATCGCATGGGCATAGCTGCATAGAACAGGTGTCCCACTACAACAGCTCAGGAGAGAACAGTGGGGAGGAAATGCTACATGCTGGGGCTTGTTTTATACGCGTCAGTCTGCCAAGTAGCTACCATTTTAGGACTTAAGCAAAGGTTGCTAAGCAATGATATCACACATAGTACCACACGAGGAAACACCAAATTCAGATAAAGTGTCACAATGGAAATCCAGTGCAAAATGCAACGGAGAGCGCCATGGAATTTTCACGCAAAGGCGCCACCGGAGCTTCAAGGCAATGCAATAAACAGTGGCAAACAAAGAAAGCGTCATAATTTTAATGATACGGGGGATGAGGTTCGCCCCTTTAGCGTCCCTTCACAGAATATGACAAAAGTTTCTATACAATCTTTTCTCGATACTCCTGTACGCAACCTCCGATGTTGTGCCCATGTTCACCCTATTTTAGTTTATAAATGCTCGACTGAATTGTGCTAAAGTCTCTTTTCCGCAGTTATTGTTATTCTATGCATGGTTAAGACCCAGTGTACATTCAGTTGGGCATCGATGTCCCTCAGACACCACTCCTTACTAGCTACTATTTTTAACGGTTTAAACCCCTTACACCCGTCTTTAGGTATAAAACAGGGCCACCCGTCTCCTCAACCTGTCAGCTTTCCGTCGTTTCCCTATTTGCTTTCTCCGAGGTCCGCGCAGTCCGTCCCCGCTGTCGTTCCTTTTGGGAGACTCTTGCACACTCTTGCTAGCGTCCGAGCCCTTCAAATACCCCGGAGACGCCGTCGCGCCCATATCATTAATAGCTCGAGTCCCACGCATGCACGTCCACCCCATCTGCCACCGAGGTTGCTGTGCGACCATGATGACACCCCCGGAAAAGCTGGCATATCCTCCATCTATGAGGGTGACGCCAAGGTTGTGTTGCTTGAGAAGATATGCCGCGCACTCGAAACTATCTTATCATGGACCTCGAAAAACTGAGCCAGGCTGGCGCTGCGACGCAGTTGAGGCTGCCTAGGTCAGGATATGCAGGCAGCCGGCGCCGACAACGTCATGCCAGCGGACGGGCCATTTCGGCGACAACGTCGTGCCAGCGGACGGGCCATTTCAGCGACAACGTCGTGCCAGCGGATGTCCGCGGACGGCACGACAACACCGTGTCCGCGGACGGCCGGCGCGCCGATGACACACAGGATGTCAATGTGTGGGCGGCGCGCCGACGCCGTGTTCAGGAGGACAGCGAACGGTGTGGCGCATCGTGTCCGCGGACGGCGCCAACAACAAAAATAGACTGCAATCAGCATAGTGAAACAGACTAGACAATAGTACAGTTACCCATTCGTATCCGCGGATGCCAACCGCCGAATGGCGTATAATGTAACAATCATCGGCGCATGCACTTAAAGCATTGATCGTGTCAGCGGACGATAAGTGAACGGTATAGTGCTATTCTCCGGCGCATGGAGCATGTAGGCTGTCGTGTGCGCGGACGCGGTGATAATGCGCTCGCCGGTGCCAAGGACACTGGGACCAATGGGATGCAGCACGCTT